AGCTTAATTAAACACCTAAGAGTAATTGTGTATTAAATACTAAAAGGGTAAAGTATTAAGTTCTTTTTTTCTTTTTCTTTGTTTGTTATATAGTTTTTTTTAATTTGCTAAATGTGAATTTACAAAGTGCAACTTTTGTATTGTTGTGGCTCCCCCCCCAACCTCCCTCCCTCCTGTGGCCCTCCCCTCTCCCACTCCCTCTCCCATCTCACCCTTCATCGAGTTTCATTTTCAATTACCTTCATACACAGAAGATCAACTTAGTATACACTAAGCAAGGATTTCAACAGGCTGCACTCACACAACCGCACAAGGTATAGGGTATTGTTCGACTAGTAGTGTTGTTTTTGAGTTTCATAGTAAAACACATTAAGGACAGAGATCCTACGTGGGGAGCCTGTACCCAGTGACTCCCGTTGTTGATTTAACAATTGGCACTCTTATTTATGATGTCAGCAATCACCCGAGACTCTTGCTATGAGCTGTCTAGTCTGTGGAAGCCCCTTGAGTTCACCGACTCTGAACTTGTTTAGTCAAGGCCGTATCACAGTGGAGGTTCCTTCCTCCCTTCAGAGAAAGGCGCCTCTCTCCTTGATGGCCTGATCCTTCTGCTGGGGTCTTGTTCACCAGGATCTTTCATTTAGATTTTTTTTGCCACCGTGTCATGGCTTTCCATGCCTGTGAGACTCTCATGGACCTTTTAGCCAGATCCGAATGTCCCAAGGGTTGATTCTGAGGCAGGAGTGCTGCCATTCTATGAGTCTGCTGTGTGTCCTGTTTCCCCCGCAGGATCATTCTCTCCCTTTTAATTCTATCCTTCATTATTTGCTTACACTGGTCTTATTTGTGAAATCTCATCGACACATACCCTATCTTTTTGATCGGTTGTGTATTTATACTTATCACTTTACCAAGTGCGCTGGTATTGGTACTGCCTCCTTGGTAAGATTGAATTGAAATCCCTGGCACATTTCTAGTTCCACCATTGGAGGTAAGTCCGAGTGAGCGTGTGCCAACCTATATATAAAGATAGATTTGTTTGAGTCAGAGTTACACAGAGAAGGAGAGGCAGAGAGGTCTTCCATCTGCTAGTTCACTCCCCAATGCGCCGCAACAGCCAGAGCTGTGCCAATCCGAAGCCAGGAGCTTCCTCCAGGTCTCCCACACAGGCCATCCTCCACTGCTTTCCCAGGCCATAGCAGAGAGCTGGATGGGAAGTGGAGCAGCCGGGACTCGAACCGTCACCCATATGGGATGCTGGCACTGCAGGCAGTGGCTTTACCCTCTAGGCCACAGCGCCAGCCCCTCAAGCATGATCTTAACCACTGAGACACTCGCCCATCCAAAGAGTTTAATAGTTTTTCATGAAAATTTTTCTAAACCCAATTCTCTGCCTTTTCCCTCTGTAAGGAAAGTTCATAAGCAGGGTGCCATTCTTTCTAACGGCGTCCTGGGTTTCCTTCCTCCCGGGGTCTGATGGACGTGTGGGTGAGTGAGCGGGTGAGATGGCTATGTGCAGGCAGGTGACAGGGGAGCCTCAGGGAGTGGCTGCAGGCCTGTGTGTGTGTGCATGTCTGTGCGCATGTGTGTATGTGTGTGTGTGCATGTGTGTGCATGCGTGTGTGCAGTTTCCGGTTGCTTCCTTGCTGCCAGAGTCCCAGCATGCCTTTAGGCCTCCCCAGCACTTGAGCCCTCATTCATTCACTCATTCATTCCTTCTTTTGTTCAGTTTACACTGACAGCAGTTGTGTGTCCTCCTGGAGGACTGTGGTGCGTGTCAGCCAGGGTGCGGGGGTGAGCCGCCATTGCCGCATTGTCGCTTCCCTGTGACCGGGCCATCAGCCGTCCTGCCTCCCGGCTGGGGTGAACCGTGCTGCCCGACACCGTCACCCTGAGTACGAGCACCACTGCTCCTAGCCACCTGTGACGCCAGTCTCCCCTCCTTGTTCCCAGCTGCGGTTCGCTGATTGAGTCTGCCGCGGGCCGGGGCAGCGATCCCCGGCGTTGGCGGATGTGTGGCCAAGCGGGAGAGTTCGCTCCTCCGGGGCCCTGGCTTTGCAGAGAGCACACGTGGACTTTCCTGGCTCGAGTCCCCCGCGGCTGCTGGGAGCGGCCCCTCACGGTGCCTCCTTCCTGGTCTCTGCTCCTTGGTGGTTCTGCCGCAGGGAGCTGGGCTGTGGGCCGGGGTCTCCTGTAGGACGGCGAGCCGGGAAGGGTCGCCACCTTTAGCGCCCACCCGAGAGCACGTGACAGGCAGCTGCCGAGGATCACTGAGGCTTCTCAGACAGACGGGGGGAGGGGGGTGACGTCCACAGAGAAGGGAGCCTGGTGCTGCTCTGGGGCCTCCGGCATGGCGCCTAATCAAAGGCCTCAGGCGCAGACAGAAAATCGTTAGGACTTGGGGAGTTTTGCCGGATTGCAACCCTGTTAGCAAAGAGAAGGATTTGACTACGGTAGGCTGCACCACAGCTCTGCATCTGATTCCCAAGGGGTCCAGCCCAGCGGCCCCCCACCCCTCACCCACCTTCAGCCTCAGGGTTGGGGGGGCTGCATTTCTTCATTCTGAGACCCAGCAGTGGTGCCCCTGTCTCAGGAGGAGCCGTGTTTAGCCGTGTTGCCTGGGTGCCGCATGAACCCCGGGACCTGTGAGGAGCCGCAGCCCGGGCGCCTGGGGCAGGATGTGGGTTTCTCTCCAGCAGCCTTTGGTTGCTGCTTTGGGCCATTCTGGCCCAGTGTTGGTGTTGGCTGGGTCGCTCCAGGTTAACGACACTGTTCCTGGCGTGTCCCTTCTTCCCCGGGTACAACAGGCAGAAAACCGTAGGATTTGTCTTCCCTGGAAGAGAACCCTGGCCTAGATGTGGGAGCAGGTGTGGAGACAGAGGGTGGGTTGTCCAGGTCCTGGTGCTCCCGGGTGACCGTGCCAGTCTGCAGCCAGGGTTCTTGGCTCCGTGTAAGGGAAGGCGACAGAGACAGATGAAGACGAGTTCGTCCCAGTTGTAACCAAGGACAGCGGTCACCACTGGTGGGGAAGGCCCCTGGCCCTTCCGATGGGAGTGAGGGCAAGTGCTGTGTGGTGGGAGGGAGGCGGGGTTAGTACGATTCCACAGGGTGGAGGGCTCGGCCCGCCTGCAGGGTGGCAAGGTGAGAAGTCCCAAAGGTGAGTGAACCCCAAGGGGGTAGCTGAGAAGTGCATCAGGAGCCAGTCCCGACATGTTCCCCAAAGCATCGTTGGGACCGAAATATCAAAAATAACAGGGTGTCTGGAAGGGAGGTGGTTGACTGCATTAGGGGCTTTTGTACCGAGTACATTTGCAACCATCAAAATGATATGCAGGGGCCGGCGTTGTGTGCAGTGGGTAAAGCCAGGGCCTGCGACGCCAGCATCCCACATGGGCACCCGTTTACCACCCAGCCGCTCCACTTCCCGTCCAGCTCCCTGCTAATGGCCTGGGAAAAACAGTGGAGGATGGTGCAAGTGTTTGGGCTCCTGTTACCCGCTTGGGAGACCTGAAAGAGGCTCCTGGCTCCTGGCTCCTGCTTGGCCCAGCCCTGGCCGTTGTGGGCATCTGGGGAGTGAACCAGCAGATGGACGACCTGTCTGTATCTCTCCTGAGTCTCTCTGTAATTCTGCCTTTCAAATAAATAAATTGATATTAAAAAATATGTGGCTCGCTCTGTGGCGTAGCGAGTAAAACCACCACCTGCAGTGCTGGCATCCCACGTGGGCGCCAGTTCAGGTCCCTGCTGCTCCACTTCCAGTCCTGCTCTCTGCTATGGCCTGGAAGGCAGCAGAAGATGGCCCAAATCCTTGGGCCCTGCAGCCACATGGGAGACCTGGCAGAAGCTCCTGGCTTCAGATCAGCCCAGCTCCGGCCGTTGCGGCCATTTGGGGAGGGAGCCAGTGGGTGGAAGACCTCTCTCTCTCTCTCTCTCTCTCTCTCTCTCTCTCTCTGTCTCTCTGTCTCTCTGTCTCTCTCTCTGCTTCTGCCTCTCTGTAACTGCCTTTCAAATAAATTTTTAAAAAATCTTTAAAAAGTGCAGACTGTCATCTGAAATTTGCTTTACAATGTTCCAGCCAAACAATGAAAATGAAAAATAAAGAGGAGGGGAGAGGGAGATGGGATGAAATGTGTCTAGTGTTGTGGTGACACGGAGCTGAGTGGGGGGGGCCGCCGCAGGGTCGTGGAGCTGAGTTGGGGGGGGGTTCCTGGGGGCATCCTTACCTGGGGTCGTGGAGCAAAGTTTGGGGGCCACCCCGGGGTCATGGAACTGAGTGTGGGGGCCACTTTGGGGTTGTGGAGCTGAGTGTGTGTGTGGGGGGTCCCTCCCTGGGGTGGGGTCGTGGAGCTGAGCGTGGGGGGCCGCCACAGGGTCGTGGAGCTGAGTGGGGAGGGTTCCTGGGGGTTCCCTCCCTGGGGTCATGGAGCTAAGTTTGGGGGCCACCTCGGGGTCATGGAGCTGAGTAGGGGGGCCTCCTGGGGTTGTGGAGCTGAGTGTGGGAGGGGGGTTCCTCCCTGGGCTTGTGTAGCTAAGTTTGGGGGCCCCCCCGGGGTCATGGAGCTGAGTGTGGGGGCCACCGTGGGGTTGTGGAGCTGAGTGTGAGGGGTCCCTCCCTGGGGTGGGGTCGTGGAGCTGAGCGTGGGGTCCCTCCCACCATGGTCCCTTGCACATCTGAGATTTTGTGTAACCAAAGGGTGAAGCTGTGTACAGCTGACGGATCTGTCCTTTGCTTGCACGCACATTAGGAGATGCTGCTGTCCAGGTCTGCCGGTTGTCACTGGGAGATCTGCACCATGCGTCACACTGGTAGAAAGCCTCAAAGACTAACGTGCAGAATTGTCAAACCTGTCCAAGCAGGACGCAGCAGGGTGCACCTCTCAGTGGCCATCCTTGCCCCTTTGGCTGCCCTCACCCCCTCACCCCCACGTAGCAAACGCGTCGGGCTCGGGAGGGTCTGGGAAGGGTTGAGCTCCATGCGATGTGTTGCTCTCTTGCCCCAGGGAAGAGCATGGAGGAGATTAAGAAGGTCCTGCTGCTGGTGCTGGGCTGTGCCGTCCAGGTAGGGATGCGGGGACTGGGGGGTTGCTGGGTTCCCGGGAGGGCGGGCCCCCATCTCCGGTGTCAGCCGTCTCTAGTACCAGGGCACGGTGGCGGGAGGCCAGGCCGGGATCCCTCGGGCACGGAGGGCCAGGAGCCGGAAACCGCAGCGTGTAGACGAAGTCTTCCTGGAACGCGGCCACACGCGTCCCCTCCTGGATGGCGCTGGCGGTTTCGCCCTGTGGTGGCAGAGTCGAGTACAGTTATGTGTCACTCAGCTGCAGGGTTCTGAGAAATGCCTTAGGTGGTTTCGTGCCAGCATCACAGAGGCCACGTGACACAGACGGACACAGCCGGGTTGCCGGGCGGCTCTGTCCCTCGGGGCCGGGGTCCGATAAGTGGTGCGACATCCGCTGAAGCGTCCTCATTCAGTGCCTGGCTGCGCGAGGGGACTTCACAGAGTTTGTGGAAAATGGAATTAAAAGACAGGGGCCGGTGTTGTGGTGCAGCGGGTTTAAGCCCCTGTTCATGACACGGCATCCCATATCGGAGGGCCGGAGTGCTGGTTCAAGTCTGGTCCAGCTCCCCGCTAATGCACCTGGGAAAGCAGTGGAAGATGGCCCAAGTCTTTGGGACCCTGCCACCCACGTGGGAGACCCGGATGGCGCCCCAGGCTCCTAGCTTTGGCCTGCCCCAGCTTTGACCATTTGGAGAGAGGACTAGTCAAGATCTCTCTGTGTCACGCTGCCTTTCAAATAAATGTTCTTTAAAAATAAATTATTATTAAAAAGTCAGTTATATTTTGGTGCAGAAACCGTTTGAAGTCCATGCATAGTTGGGACACAGTACACATTTTCCGTGAACTTTTTGAAAACCCTGTGTGTATACAATTTTAAATTTTTTTTCTGTACCAAAATACATTTATCTTCTAATTCCATTTCTCCACACGGTCTGAGGTCCCCTTGTGTTTGCCACCAAGCCTGGTCATTCACAGGTGGCGCTGGCCAGCTCCCTGCCCGGTGCAAGGCTTCTGGGTTCTGGCTGAGATCTCGCCTTGTTGAAAACACAGAGCCCTGTGTCTCACCGCCGTTTGCAGCTCTGGGAGCGGGCGTTAGGATGGGCCTCTCCCAAACAGGCTCCCAGGTGCCCTGGGTGGTCTTAGCAACGGCCAGAGACAGGGACCTCAGTGTGAGTGGGACTGGCGGCAAGACCGGGCGCTCCGAGGCCAGGGTGGGCGGCTGGCTTCTTAGCTGGGCGTGTGGCCGGGGCGGGCCGGGACTGCACTGCTGACATGTGTGCCCTCCACAGTGTGAGCGGAAGGAAGAGTTCATTGAACGCATTAAGCAGCTGGACATTGAGACGCAAGCCGGCATCGTGGCGCACATCCAGGAGGTGGGTGGGGGCCCAGCCAGCAGGAGGCCGAGTGTCCCCCTGGGGGGGCGACATTGGTTTACAGAATGTACCAGCAACCCATGGCTGGGCTGATTGTAGGCATCGGGCACCGCAGACAAATGGCTTTTGTTTGGAAAGGTACCCATCAGCAAGCTAAAATGAAATGGGAGTAGAAATAAAAATTAAAAAAAAAAAAAAAACCCGCACATCACCTCCATCAAGTCATCCTTTGCCTCCTCTTCTCGCCTTATATGGACTCCGACTATTTTTAAGAGCTGTCAAGTGGTTTAGGCTCAGAATTTGATTTACAGGCTCTGCAAATGTATTCTGGCAAATGTCACTTTGCTCCAAGCACTTGATCTAGACAGAGCGAGGTCCGCGGGGAGCAAGCCTCCATCCCAGGGATGCTGGAACCGGCAGGGCTCAGAAGAGGGGCTGTCCCGGGAGACCCAGGCCACGTGCAGGGGGGTTGGGTGGGGGCTGCACCGAGGGTCCCTGTCTGGAGGGGAGTGAGCTACCCTGACCGCCTCCGGTCTTTGCCGGTCTTTGAGGCAGAGGTGGAGTCTAGGAGACGTCCACCCGATGTTCTCCGTCCTCCATCCGGCAAGTGTCCCGCGTGTTAATGATCCTGGGGTGAGGTGTCTGCTAGTTCCAGCCTGCAGGCTCACGGGGCAGATGAGGTGAATGGGTGGGAAAGACCCGAGCGGTAGGTAGGGCTGGTGTGTGGTTGGCCGGGAACACAGAGCCCCAGTGTGGCGCGTCAATACCAGGGCTGCGGCCGGGGGCAGAGAGTTCTGAGTCAGGACTTGAAGCAGGGGCAGGCGTGGCCTGTGGCGAGTAGTGGGTGCGGCCAGACCACACCAGGGCCGGGCCAGTCTTTCCGTTGATGGTCTCAGCCATCACTGACCATCTGCTAGCCTCAGAGCCTGCAGCCTTGGCATCCCCTCGGGTGTCGAGCGGGTTCAGAGCGTGGAGAGGTAGGGGTTTGGGAACTGAGGGGCCGTGTGGGCAGAGCTCTGGCTTTCCCGCTGTTTCCTGCACGTGTGGGATTTTGAGAGCCCTCCCCTTCCTCCGTGCGCTCCTCCGGACAATTCCCGAGCTTTGCTGGTGTGTGTCGCCGGGCTTGTGGCCCTGGCTGCTTTGGTTTTGTTTCCTGCTTATGAGCCCTAGGCACTGGAATGTGTCCCTTCCAGAAACCAGAGGATGGGTATTTTTTTTTTTTTTTAAAAGGAGAAATTGGTGGCTCTCTGAGCCTGATTTGGTGGCCACGGACGTCTGTCAGGGAGGGACATGGTTGCAGGGAGGCAGCACCCGTCTCCACCTGCCGGCCACTCCAGCGCCATGCCGTGTGTGCCCGCAGGTGACCCACAACCAGGAGAATGTGTTTGACCTGCAGTGGCTGGAGCTGCCGGACGTGGCCCCAGAGGAGCTGGAGGCCCTGTCCAGGAGCATGGTGTTCCATCTGCGGCGGCTCATCGACCAGCGGGACGAGTGCACCGAGGTGCGGGCCCCTCCTCCCTCCCCCCCCCCCCCCCCCGCCCCGTCGCCGCTGGCCACCTCCCCGCACCGCTGGTCAGGTTCTGGGGGACGTGCCAGCTCTCCCTGCTTGCAGCCCCTGCAGGGACAGTGGCCCATGGGAGGTTGGATGCAAGCTTAGGGTCCCCCCTCTGCCCACACAGCCTGTTTGGTCCCCAGTGTGTCACCTCCCTGACAATTCTCCTCCCCCGTTCCCACCTCCCCCCAGTCTCTCAGTCCCAGCTGGAATATCCTCTTCTCTCTTGCTGGCCTGTGTTGGAGACACAGAGAGACAGACAGAGCTCTCATCAGCTGGGTCCCTCCCAGGTGTTCACAGTTGGCTGGGGCTGGCCAGGCCAAAGGTGGGAGCCGGGAGCTCGGTGGGTGGCAGCGACCAAACTGCTTGAGCCATCGCCTGCTACCTCCCAGGGCCCATGTTTGCAGGAAGCTGGACTCTGGAGCTGGGCCACGACTCAGACCCACTCCGATATGGGGCGTGGGTGTTCCAGCCTCTAAGCCTCTTTCTCAGTGCCCTGTGCACTGGGCGCTGCCAGGCCCGGGAGTGCACTGCTGAACCTGCCCTGTGCCCCTGCAGCTGATCGTGGACCTGACCCAGGAGCGGGACTACCTGCAGGCGCAGCACCCGCCCAGCCCCGCCAAGTCCTCCAGCGTGGACTCCACGCCCAGCCCCACCAGCAGCCTGTCCAGCGAGGAGAAGCAGCACCTGGCCGTGGAGCTGGCTGACACCAAGGCCCGTCTGCGGCGCGTCCGACAGGACCTGTGAGTCCCCCGCTCCTCCGTGGCGTGTCGCAAACACGTGTCTGGTGTGGTTGGCTTGCGTAGGCGGTGCTCAGGCAGCAGACCCTGACTGGGCCCTGTCGACTCGGGGCGGCTCAGAGCTTGCTGTGTGACCGTGGGCTGGTCCCCTCCCTGCCCCGCCAGTCCACACTTCACAAGCCGTGTCTGGAAGTAGCCTGCTGTCCACACACGGGCCCAGCTTGGGGGTGGAATGAGCCCTGATGGTGTTCTGGCTGGGGGGAGCCTGGCCCCCGTTTCCTGCAGCTGGCACTGCTGTCCCTTGGCTGTCATCCATGCAGCTGGGGTCTCCGTACCTGTCAGAAACACAGGTGATGGGTGGTGGTCGTTTGCAGTGTTGAAAATGTCCGGGTTTCGAGTCAGGAGTTTTTGCAGACCCCTCGCGCCCCCAGGAGCCCAGGTCCCCGGCTTCGTTGCCAGGGTCCGGGGAGGTGGAAGCCCGCTCCAGGGCCAGCCGAGGAGGACCCTCCCCGCATTCCTGCTTCTTGCCGCCCCCCAGGGAGGACAAGACGGAGCAGCTTGTGGACACCAGACACGAGGTGGACCAGCTGGTGCTGGAGCTGCAGAAGACCAAGCAGGAGGTGGGCGGCAGGCCTGTCCCGCTGTCCACGGGGTGGGCGGGGGCCCCGTGTCCCTGTGCCCAGGAGGTGGGCGGGGGCCCCGTGTCCCTGTGCCCAGGGGGTGGGCGGCAGGCATGTGTCCCTGTGCCCAGGGGGTGGGCGGCAGGCCCGTATCCCTGTGTCCAGGGGGCAGGCAGCAGGCCCGTATCCCTGTACCCGGGGGGTGGGCGGCAGACATGTGTCCCGGTGTCCAGGGGGCGGGTAGCAGGCCTGTGTCCCTGTGTCCAGAGGGTGGACAGTGGGCCCGTGTCCAGGGGCCGGGGTCAGGCCTGCAAGGTTAGGAGTGCAGCACCGAGCACGTGCAGCAGAACCACGTGGGAGCCAGTTGTCCTGATAATGTCCTGGGATGACTGTGTTTTTGGCAGTGGCCTGTGGGGACCCTGCGTGGTCACATGCACAGGGAGCCCCGGCACCACTAGGAACGGGCTTCTCCTGGAGACCATGCTTAGGGACTTGTCCCCCTCCCCAGAATCCCCAGGACGCCCCGAGCTAAGGTCCGCTGCCTTTCCACCCCTCCCAGAACACCCAGCTGGCCGCGGACGCCCGGTCTGCCCGCGCCTACCGGGACGAGCTGGACTCGCTGCGGGAGAAGGCGAGCCGCGTGGAGAGGCTGGAGATGGAGCTACTGCGCTGCAGGGAGAAGCTGCACGACGTGGACTTCTACAAGGCCCGCATGGAGGTCGGTGGCCAGGCGGGCCCCGCACCTGCTGCTGGACGCGGCCCCGGGGGAGACGCGGTGGCCAGGCGGGCCCCGCACCTGCTGCTGGACGCGGCCCCGGGGCGGCTTCTGCGGGGAGACAGGGTGGCCAGGCGGGCCCCGCACCTGCTGCTGGACGCGGCCCCCGGGGCGGCTTCTGCGGGGAGACGCGGTGGCCAGGCGGGCTGCCACACCTGCTGCTGGACGCGGCCCTGGGGGAGACGCGGTGGCCAGGCGGCCCCTGCACCTGCTGCTGGACGTGGCCCTGGGGGAGACACGGTGGCCAGGCGGGCCCCGCACCTGCTGCTGGACGCTGCCCCCGGGGCGGCTTCTGCAGGGAGACGCGGTGGCCAGGTGGCCCCTGCACCTGCTGCTGGACGCGGCCCCCGGGGCGGCTTCTGCAGGGAGACGCGGTGGCCAGGTGGCCCCTGCACCTGCTGCTGGATGCGGCCCCCGGGGCGGCTTCTGTGGGGAGACGGGGTGGCCAGGCGGGCCCTGCACCTGCTGCTGGACGCAGCCCCCGGGGCGGCTTCTGCGGGGAGACTTGTGAGGGTTGGGAGTCTCAGTGCGAGGAGCAGCAGCGGGGCTGCGTGGGGGCAGTGCTCCCCTCCAGGGTTGGTGGTTCTCTCATGTCCTGCTCCAGTGAGGACCTGGCTACGCACCTGGTTTGGGGGGTTTTGGTTTTTTTTTAAAGAGTAGCACACGATCATTTTTTATTTTTTCCAGTTTATTTTTCTATATTTGAAAAGCGGAGCAACAGAGTGAGAGAGAGAACGAGTGAGCGAGAGGGAGATGTCTCCCATTTTTTTTCCCCAGTTGCCTGCAACAGCTGGTGCTAGGCCAGGCCAAAGCCAGGAGCCAAGGGCTCGTTCTGGGTCTCCCATGTGGGCGGCAGGGACACAGGGTTGAGCCGTCACCTGCTGCCTCCCAGCGTGCATGTTCACAGGATGCTGGAGTCGGGCACAGAGCTGGGAGCCAAACCCAGGCCCTCCTATGAAGGTGGCAGGTGGTCCAGGTGGCCTCCTAACAGCTGTCCCTTCTTTGTTCAGACTCGGCGGTTTCTCTGGCTAATTTTCTGGGATTCAGCTTCCTCGTCTGTGGAATGGGAGGGTAGTTCTGCAGCCGTGAGGTCCCTTGGTGAGCCTGCGGCCATGCAAGCTGTGCCAGGGTCTTTATTTATTAACGGGGTGGAGGTTATGCATGAGTGCCGGTGAGGGGTCAAGACTCAACTGCATCCAGCCCCGGGGGATCACTGATGCTTGACCTTTGGCCCCTGTGGCCCTTGGGACCGCTTGTCTGAGGATGTAGCAGTTTGGCCCTGGTGCCCGTGCCGGGGTCCGGAAGGGTTCTGTTTCCCTGTGTGAGCTCCTTCCACTTGGACGACAGGTGCTGGGCAGAGCCAGATGTGAGCGCAGAGGGGTCTGACCTCCAGGAATAATCCCATCATCCATCATAGAGCCCTGCTGGCCAGGGCTCCCCGGGGTGGACCCTGGTGTGGGGACTCCATGTGGCCCTTGTCTCCCGCTGTCAGATCCCCGTGTGTGCCGGCAGCCCTGTCGGGGTTGGGGCAGCCAAAGCCCCTCTCGCTGTGCCCTGGAGCCCCTGGGCTTGGCCAAGGCTGGTTGGGGGAGGCTGGGGCCAGGCGCCTGCTTGTTCCTCAGCCTCCCCTTGAAGCATCCCCTGAGGACCACGGGGACACTTGGTGGCCCCGCTGAGAAGGGGGGCCCTGGAGGCTGTGCAGAGACAGGGCAGGGAGGAGAGGCCCTGGCTCTGCTCATTCCAAGGGTCGTAAATCCTGGCACAGAGGGTTCAGACTTGTGCCTGTCCTGGCGGGGCCTTGTGGCATCCTGGAAATGCCACGGGCGGGAGGACCAGGGATGTCACACACAGCCTTCCTGAGCGGCTTCTCCCGTGCCCTGGGGACCTTATGCAGCCCGAGGACAGGGTCAGGAGTGGAGTGTGACACCTCTGCTCCCTGGAGCTGGGTTTCGGGATCCAGCCTGTGCGTGGGTTCCCGGCCTTCCAGCCTGGACCGAGTGTCCTGGCTCTGACATGCACACGCGGTAGCTCAGTGCCTGATGGCTCCTGGCCCTGCACCGGGAGCCATGCACCAGGAATGGCCGGGCTTGTCGACGGTGTCCTGGGAGGGCCTCTTTTCCCTGTTTGCAAATTCCACCCCTCTGGGTGGAGACAGTGGTGTTTTTATTGTGAAGGTCACGGTGAGGTCACGTCTTAACGCCGGTGCAGCTTCCTGGTGCTGGCCGAGGCTGTGGAGGCACACCCGTGGCTGTGTCTTCTCCGCCCTCAGCCCGGCGTGCATGAGTGGCAGGAGCTCTTTGCGTTGGCGGTTGTGCCAGCTGTAGACCACAGCAGTTGTGGAGCGGGGGTTAGGGGCGTGATGTCCTCACGCCGAGTCTACCGAGGGCCGTCTGCACTCCTTCTCCTGTCACACGAGCCATCCCGTGTGGGTGGGAGATGCCGCTTCCCGGGCAGCGAGGGTTGGGCGGGTTGATTGAGTCCAGGCCGCTGCGGAGAGGAGTGAGTTTCACTTGTGTCTGACGCCCGTGACACCAGGACTGTGGTGACAGTGGGGGACGGGAGCAAGCGCACAGTGGTCTGTGTTGTCACCACGGCTGTCACCACACCTTTACAGCCCTTGCAGGGCGCCTAGGGTGGCTCCCAGATGTGAAACCATACTGTGTGTGAGTGACGGGGCCACCCCCTGTACAGTGCCGTGGGTGGGGTGCATACGTGGACAGGGTCGTGTAGGAGACAGGGGCGCCCCCTGCCCTGCCAGAACCAGCTGCTGGTGAGCGGTGGGGGAGCCGGCCCCTGGCCAGGGTAGCCTCTGAGTTGATGGCTGCTGAGGCAGCCGAAGAGTGAGCACCGAGGAGTGAGCCAGGCAAGGAGAGCCGTGCAGAGCTGGGAACAAAGCGTGTGGCACGACCTGTGGCCAGGCTGGGGCCACAAGGCCCTGGGGTGTTGGGGGTGACTGGTGAGAGGTCCGTGGAGCTGGTGGGCCCAGGTGTGGAAGGGGGGCTCCTCCACCCCAGGCGTGGTCACGGGGCGGGGCGTGCACGCGTGTCTCTGGCTCACTCTACTGAGGACCGCGTCCGCCAGGGCCTGCCCTGGAGCGGGAGTTTGTTCCGTGTCCTTCCTGGTTGTTCTCAGCTGTCGCTGCCCCCTGGAGGAGAAACACCCGCTGGTGGATCCTCTCTGGGGCTGGCCTTCGGTGGCGTTGCTCGCCTGTGCTGTAGCGCCCCCACCCCCCAGCCTCTCGGACACCTGCAGAGGCTGAGCACAGGACCACAGGCCTTCCTGCCCCACTGTCCCCCCCCCCCAGCCCCCAGGTGTGTGTGGGCGTTCACTTGGGGTGCAGCTGGAGACAGGGTGCCTCTGGTAGGAGCAGTGGCAGGAGCAGCGGCAGGACCGGGCCCATGCCAGTCGGTCCCTCCAGGGCTGGGTGCCGCCTTCTTGCACAGGGGGCTTTGCTGGGCCACTGTGTTTTTGTTTCAGTCAATAATTTCCCTGGCTTTCCACGAAAGCCCAGATTCCGTGGGGCTCAGGGGTGCACATTTCCATGGGATCCATCCTAAGCTTTTTTTGAAGGATTTATTTTTATTTATTTGAAAGGCAGCATTAGAGAGAGAGAAGGGGCTTGATCTTCCATCTACTGCTTCACTCTCCAGATGGCTGCAACAGCTGGGGCTGGGCCTGGCCAGGCTGAAGCCAGGAGCCTGGAGCTCCATCCGAGTCACCCACTGGGGTTGCAAGGGCCCAGGCACTCCAGCCATCTGCAGCTGCTTACTGCCCCATCAGTAAGAGAGCTGAATCGGAAGTGGAGCAGCCAGGACTCAAACCAGTGCTCACAGGGGGCTGCCTGTGTCATAGGCATCAGGTTAAACCACTGTGCCACATGCTGGCCTTGTTGCGGGAGGCGTTAAGTCCAGTTTCTTTCTTTTTTTTTTAATTTGACAGGCAGAGTTAGACAGTGAGAGAGAGAGACAGAGAGAAAGGTCTTCCTTCCATTGGTTCACCCCCAAAATGGCCACCACGGCCGGAGCTATGCTGATCCGAAGCCAGGAGCCAGGTGCTTCTCCTGGTCTCCCATGCAGGTGCAGGGGCCCAAGCACCTGGGCCATCCTCCACTGCCCTCCCGGGCCACAGCAGAGAGCTGGACTGGAAGAGGGGCAACCAGGACAAGAGCCTGATGCCCATGTGGGATGCCGGTGCTGCAGGCGGAGGATTAACCAAGTGTGCCACGGCGCCAGCCCAAGTCTAGTTTCTAAGCAGTCAAGGCTCCCAGTGCCATGCAGACTTCTGTGACTTGAGGCTGGCCTGCAGGTTTTGTGTGTGTGTGTGTGTGTGTGTGTGTTTTTTAAGATTCATTTTATTTACTTGAAAGAGTTACAGAGAGAGAGAGAGACAGGTCTTCCATCCACTGGTTCACTCCCCAGATGGCTGCAACCTGATTTGAAGCCAGGAGCTTCTTCCAGGTCTCCCACATGGGTGTGGGGGCCCAAGCACTTGGGCCATCTTCTGCTGCTTTCCCAGGCGCATTAGCAGGGAGCTGGATTGGAAGTGGAGCAGCGGGGATGCAAACCGGTGCCCATATGGGATGCTGGCATTGCAGGCTGGGGCTTTAACCCACTGCGCCATAGCGCCGGCCCCATGACCTGCAGGTGTTAAACCCTTAGACTAGAAAAGACCCAAGTGTGAGGTGTAACATCCAGAAGATAAAGACCGACTGGGCAGAGGGCTGGTTGCGTGGTGGAGGCGCGCGGGCAGGGGTGGGTGCCATGGAGTTGTTTCAGCTTCGCAGTAGGTTTCATGTTTGCAACATGAATTATGGGTAGTGGAGGGGACAAGCCCAGTGAGAGGACCCCAGAGACATTGCTGGCTTCAAACCCGCTCCTGCCTCGTTGATCACATGGGTTTAATTGTGAAAGAGTTGCAAACGTTAATGCTGTCTGAGCTGTGGGTCTCAGACTTCGTTTCTCAGGATGTAGTCTGCTGCTTCCTCTTTCAGAATCGGCTGAGGGGGCCGCTTCAAGGCGCGTTCCAGGGCTGCCCCCTGGTCCTAGGGAGGAGGGCCTGGAAGTCTGCCTCCTGCAGGCTCTCTGTCGGGTGTCGGGCACTCCCACGCAGGAGGACTGGGCTACACATGGGCCCAGCAGTGTAGGCTCTCGCCCCGGCCTTCCCTCTGCCAGGCCGGGTTTGCCCACCTGCCACAGGGGTTAGTCTGTGGGTGCAGCATGACCAGGGCAGCCTCCTGTTGGACACAGAGCCCCGATGGCGGGGGCTCTGTCTCACCTGAGCCCGGGAGCCATGGACAAGTTAAGGAACACCTGTTGGCTTGCAGCTCTGACTGGCAGCCTGGGCATGGCAGGGGCGGGCCTGTGAGTGCTTGTGGTTAGCTCGAGAGCCCAGGAAGAGCCCGGCTGCGTTGGTGAGCGCAGCCGTGCCTGTGACGCTCCTGTGGGTACCGAGGGAGAGACGGGTGCCTGGGCCACCTCCCCAAGGGATGCCCAGTCTAACCCCAAAGAGCACAGAAATGCTGGTGCGCAGACAGAGCCCGCGGGAGGCACTGGTCTTCCAACTGCTGGCATCGGTTCTGTGGCTCCCGGTCTGGCTTAGGTGAGGATCGAACCAGCAAGGAGAGCCGAGCAGAGCGGGCGTCCCTCGGTCGAGAGGAAGGGTGGGGTGGGTGCACAGGGTGGCCCTTGGCTTCCTTTTGCAACCTGCTCAGTGCCCCGGGGCCAGGCTGGGGGCAGGGTGAGAACGAAGGCAGGAAGAAGGTGCTGGCAGGCTCTCTCCTCCACATTTTGGGATCAGCTGACTGTGTCTACCAAGCGCCAAGGGCAGATGCGCCGGTGCCGTGTGCATCCTGGACAGAGCACTTGAGGCCCTCTTGCACTCCTGGGTGGGGTACAGATTTCCAGACGGGGCTGGGCTCAAAACAAACAGCTCGGGAGACAGAGATCCCGCAGGACACTGTCCCAGCTCTGACACCCACTGAGGGCAGGTCTGTGAAAGGGGGGTGTCCTGGGGGTCAGCCTGGGCACAGCGGGTACGGGTGCTGTTGGCAGGAGTTGAGGTAGTGATCAGTCCCAGAGGAAGAGAGTGTGTGTCTATTTCTGCTGCCCTCTCTCTGTCTCTCTCTGTCACACACACACACAGCCACACACAGCCACCCACCCAATCCAGGGACACACCTAAGGTGATGGGTGGTGCCTAGGATCAGGTTGGGGGTGGGGAGGGTGTGTGCTCTGCCCTTCTGGGCCTGGGAGGTGGCTTCAGCTCCGCTTACGTCCCCCAGGCCCCTCTGACCCCGCCGAGCCCCTACCCCGGCACTGGGGTTCCTCATCGTAGGTAGGTGAAGCAGCACCGGATGTGTTTGTGCTTAGGGTGTCCTGGCGTCTGCCAGCTTCCAGTCACAGCGCATTTCCACTGCTCGCCAGCCCCCCCACCCCTGAGCTGAAGCCACCTCCCAGGCCCAGACGGGCAGAGCTGCCCTGTCCCTTGGCTTCCCTCTGTCAGCCTGTGTGTAGCAGGGGCACAGTCCCGCCCTCGTCCTGGGTGCTCCCGGGTAGGCTGCCGCGGCTCCGCCTGCACTCCTCCTCCAGAACCCCTCCGCCAGGCAGGGGTGCCCACGATGCAGTCACTGAGTCTCCTGTCCCCGGCCGCGGCCTCCCAGCTCCCCTGACGAGGCCCCTGCGCACCTGCTGTCTGCCGCCTCTGCCCTCTCAGGTGCTCGGGGTTAACCCCAGCCATCCCTGTCCTCGTTCCCAGCTTCCCCGTGGCCATATTAGCTGCTTCCTGCCCCAGCTTTAGTAACGTGGCTGAGCCAGCAGGTCTCAAGTCAGCCTCCGGGCTGGGTCCCCCTCCTGGGCTGCAGGCCTCTGGCCAGTCGCAAGGTCAGCGTGTCCAAGTTCTCTGTCCAGCCCCTCCGGCCTGCCTGGGATCACCAACCACTCACGTGGGGACTTAAGGCGGAGCTTGGTCAGCCATGGTGCCCCTTTCTGCTCACCGGCGCCAGGCCGGGCCCCAGGGCACCTGTCCCCACCCACCTGCCCATTTCCACTCTGCAGCTCGCGGCCGCGCAGAAGCAGGTGTGTGCGGCGTGGGTGCTACAGCCCCTGCCATTGTCCTGGGGTCTGCACACCGGACGTCCTCCGCAGCCTCCCCTCATCGCTCACATCCCTCGGTGCCGCTGCCACTGTGGTCTTCCAGAGCCCCTCGGCCACGGGCAGCCACCTGGAGTAAAATCCACTCTGGCATTTGCCAACTTCTGTCCCCTGTGGGACCCTCTGCTGCTCGCCCGGGGCCCCCGTGGCTGTGTTCCAGACCCCTTGAGACCCGGCTGCAGAGCCACAGCCCGGGACCAGCCCGGACCCAAGTGGGTGAGCTGCGCAGGCCGCGTCCCCCAGCCTCCTGCTTCCAGGTCATTTTGGAGACCCCCCCCACTTCTTAACTCCAGGCAGAGCCCCTCACGTGGCCTTGTCATGATGTGACTTCCTGCCTGGCCTTGGGTCCTGGTGCCCACTGCGGTCTGTGGGCCAGATCTGGCCCGCATCTGTTCTGGTGACGTTCGACTGGGATGCAGCTGCCCCCGTGTGTCATCTCGGACCGCCGTGTGCCCCCGCCGGGGCTGCGTGGTTGCGGCTGCAGACACTCACTGCCTGGTGCTCCAGGGCCCCGTGCCACCGTCTGGCTGTCGTGCGAGGATTTCCCAGGAGCGGCGAGGCCCCGGCCCTGAGGACCCCCGGCCCCAGCCCTGATCGCACAGTGGCCCTGGGAGGGTTAGCGGCCATTCTTGCTCCTCTCTTTTTGGTCAGATGAGAAAGCTGAAGGTTAATTAATAACTTGCTCACTGTCGCAGGTGCCAGGCTAGTGGGCGGACGGTGGGGTTGGAATGCGACTGTCTGACCCCAGGACTGACCACCTGCTGAGAGCCAGCTGGAGGGAGGACATGCGAGTCGGGGTGGGGGGGAGACAGAGGTGCTCACAGAGGGGCGGTGGCTGCCGGGGGTGGGGCTCCGAGGAGACCCTGCCTCCAGCAGTTGGCGTCGGCGTGAAGACACCATGTTGTCAGCAGGGAACGTACTAACTTAAATTCAGAGAGATCTTCTGTTCTCGCTGGGGTCCCTGTGTCTCCCTTTTTAAAAAAATCATTTGAGAGAGAGTCCCCATTTGCTGACCGGGCGGGGCCAGGCCTGTGAGTGGCCTGCTGGTTGAGTTGGGGTCAGGGCCAGGCGGGGCGTGCGGGCCTGGGGTCCGTCTCCCTCCACGCCGGTCCCTGGTGGAGCCCTGCGCTCGGTCTGGCGTCTCGCTGTGAGTGGTGAGACGTGCCAGGCGCCCGAGCACTCCTGTTGCCCGGGAAGTAACGGCGCTGAGGCCACCAGAAAACAGAGGTGCACCTGAGTCATTGGAAGCCACTTTCGGGCACCTTCGTGTACCCTACCTGTCAGACGTCCCCAGCCCCCTGCCCCCTGCCGCTTGCCCCCTGCCGCGTTACTGAACGCTCACGTGAGGCTCACCAGGGCAGAAGCAGGGCACTCCTGCCCCCAGGGAAAGTCTGACCAGGGAACATGGGCCCAAGTTCCTGATTCAGAGACTGGCACGCCATAGATTCCCAGCACTTGGCATAGGGAGCAACTCCGGCTGGGTTTTGAAGGCAGAACAGGAGTTGGTGAGGATGGAGGGGCAGCCTGTGCTGTGGCTGCTCAGGGCCAGAGAGGAGCAATGCTGGGAGTGTGGGCCGGTGGACACGGGGACAGCAGCGAGAGGGGAGCCGGGCCTTCTTCCCTGTGAGTCCCTTAGCGGCAGGCTGGGTCTCTCCCAGCCCCAGGAGCCCGCGAGGATGGGCCATGGGACTGAGGACAGCCTGGGGCTCTGCCCCTGTCCCCGGGGCGTGACTTCAGCCTCCTTCCTCGACGTGCGCAGTCAGCCCCTCACCTGCAGGATGGCCCCGTCCGCCTCCCTGGGGGCCGGCCACAGTGCCCACGTGGTCTCAGCTGGGGGTGGCAGGGGGTGCGCGCGCAGGCGAGCTCCGGGGCTGGGTGACCAAGCCTCCCCCGCAGTGCCAGGCTTTGATCACGGCCATGTCCGCTGCCTGCAAAGCCACCAGCTCCCCCTCTGCCGAAAGTCCGGAAGCCGGTGGTGCCCCGCCCCCTGTGGTCCGTGGGCGTGTTGAGCCCTGCCCCCCAATTCCTTCATCCTTGCTGCTCGGCCTCCCCCACACACCCCAGGGTGCTGAGTAGTGCTGGGCGGAGCTCAGATGGCTCCCTCCTGAGACAGGGGTAGGCGCCCGGGAGTCCCTCGCTGGGAGGTACCCGTGGGGCTCACGGGTGCTTGGTTCACAGTGCTGTGAGGTCACCGTCCCAAAGATGCCCCACTTGCAGGAAACTGCCAGGGACCCCCCCCACACACACACCCCCAGCCTTCACGTGTGAGAGACCGCAGGGGAGCTGAGCTGCAGGGAAGCTTGTGGGGGGGGGGCGCTGCTGCCAGGACCCCTGTGAGTGACACAGGTGCCCCCCAGGAGGCCCTCAGCACCGGGGCCTGACGGGGTCTCAGGTCCGTCTGTCCAGATGAGGTTGGAGATGCCGAGGACGTGTGCCCACCCACGTTTAGATTTCCGGCACCCATCGATGTTCCTTGCGGTAGATGCACTCCACGAGTGCTCGCCTCGCGAGAAAGGGTGACAGGGTGATGGCGTGACAGCCGCCTGCCTGTCGCGTGCTGGGATCCAGGTGCCTCTGGGAGCGTCAGTGTCAGGGTCCTTACGTGGACGGCTCCCGGGCCCCAGGTCAGTCAGGCACGTCCGGACAACGTCTCCCACTCGTCCATGATAGCTGAAGTCTCAGGTGGCGGGAGCTGCCCTGGGGGTCCCCAGTAGGCACCGAGACTGTCCCCCTGAGCCTTGCGGCCTCGCCTGACGTCTCTCCTGTGTCTGTGTGGCCCCAGGAGCTGCGGGAAGATAACATCATTCTCATCGAGACCAAGGCCCTGCTCGAGGAGCAGCTGGCGGCCGCCCGGGCCCGTGGTGACAAAGTGCACGAGCTGGAGAAGGAGAACTTGCAGCTGAGATCCAAGCTGCACGACGTGGAACTGGTACGGCAGAGTGGGTGCCGCCGGGGGCGGCCAGGCCAGGCCCTGCTCCGGGAGGGTGGCGTCTGGGTTTGCTCCGGCTGCCGCCACTGCCCGTGGCTCGTGCGGATAAGAGGGCTGGAGTGGGCACCGCTCGGTGCCCGCAAAACACCCGGCACGACTTCCGCCCTGCCTTTGTGTGAGGGTGAGGCATGGGTGTGTCTGGTGGGGGCGGCAGGTGTAGTTCTGGTGGGGGCTGAGCCGTGATTGGATAATGCAGCCTCTGAGTGCAGCTGCCTGGCTTCAGAGCCCTGCAGCGTCCAGGCCTCAGGCTCTCTCTGATCATTGTCACCTGGGTGGTCAGGTCAGGGGGTCGTCAGGGGAATGCGACTCTCCCGGTGGGGCTGGAGCAGGTGCGTGGAGTCCCTCGCCCCCGGCACGCAGCCCCTCCTGCATCCCCTCCTCCCGTCCGCTGCGGTAGGACCGGGACACGGACAAGAAGCGGATCGAGGAACTGCTGGAGGAAAACATGGTGCTGGAGATCGCCCAGAAGCAGAGCATGAACGAGTCCGCCCACCTGGGCTGGGAGCTGGAGCAGCTGTCCAAGAACGCAGACCTGTCGGACGGTAGGGGGCGCCCGGCCCGCCCTCCCCCCAGGCAACGGGATTTCCTTCCAGTGCCGCATGCAGCCGGTTCATTAGAGTCCCCCGAGGAGAGCCCAGGGGTCTGGCAGCCTCGATGGGAGGACGTGAGACGCTAATTACATGTGGCCAGGTGTCTCAGCTTCTCACGTGGATGCACCCTGGGCCCCCAGAGTACAGCAGGGGGACGTCCGGATGACATCTCCGGCTCGTCTGTGGATGGCGGAGAGCCCCAGGTGGCGGGAGCTGTCCCCAGTGGTCCCCAATCAACACTTTGGTTTGCATAATTGGGCAGGATGGGCATGGCCTGCTGTCTGTCTCCGGGGTGTGGATGCTGAGTGGCTGCTGCTCAGGAGACCTGGGGGTCCCCAGTGACCTGCCCCCACCCAGGCCTCTCCCCTCCCCTCCCTTCCCCTCCCCCTCCCCCTCCCCTCCCGCCCCCCCTCCTGGCGGCGCCCTGCTGCCTACGCCAGGGCCCCAAGGCGGGTGTGGGCCCTGGGAAGGCTGGGTGGGGCACGGTCAGCGCTGGAGCAGGAAGCTCCAGGCCTGACAAACAATGAGCCAATTCCTGTGTTTGAAAATAGCACCCGTCAACCATGCCCAGGCACCTGATAGTGCGAGTTTGTGTTTGCTTAGCTCTTAGGCAGCGGGTAAGGCTTCTGGCTTGTCTTGATTGTGGCTTTTGAAGATTCCAACAAGCATCCCCAAGAATGAGGTATAGAAAGCCGCTGGGTGCCTCTTCTCTCTGAGAGGTCCGTTCTGAACCCAAGAGCAGGTGGTGCTGTAGGTGCCTGGGTGCATACAGGATTTCCTGGTTTTGGAAGTCCACGTCCACCGCTGCCCCCTGGTGGAGCAGACAGGTGGTGCAGGCCACCAAAGATGGTCTCCCATTGATGCTATTTCTTGTTGTGGTCTTTCCGGGACTCGGGTGGCTGGTGGGGGGTAGAAGGCCTTGCTGATTCCATCTGTTCAGTATTGTTTGTGAACCCTTGAAAGTCGGTGACCGTGAGTTCTTTTAGTGGATGATGTTGGCACAAGTGTTGGCATGGTGCGTGCAAAACCTGAACACGCTTGTTCTTTTTTTTCTGGAAGTTGGTAGTTTTTTTTCTTAAAGAATTTTAAATGGTTTCTTTATTTGGAAGGCAGAGAGACAGAAACAGAGATCTTCCATCTGTTGAAACATTCTGCTAATGTCAACAACGGCTAGAACTAAGGCCAGGAGCCTGGACCCCAGTGCAGGTCTGCCACGTGCGTGGCAAGGACCCCGGTACTTGAGCCATGGTCTGCTGCCTCCGAGCACGTTGAAGGAAACTGGGATTGGAAGTGGAGCTGGGACCCGGACTCGAGGACGAGACCAGGGCATCCCCTCAGCAGCTTAACCACTGTGCCACGCACCTGTCCTGGTGTACTTAGGCCTGTGTGGTGTGTGGGGCCTAGGGTCCCGGCCCCTCCACTGCTTAGCTGGGTGACCAGGGCAAAGTACATAACCTCTGTTTTGATTCTGGTGAGAAGCCATGTTTGGAATGAGCCCGGTGGGCTGCGTTTTGGTGATCCAGTCTCATTGGCAGTGCCCAGAGCGTCCCAGTCGGGAGCCAGTTGGGAGCCAGTGGAACGTGCACCTCCTCCTGCACCAGGTCTGACCGGGTGCTGAGTGCGGCCCTGGCCGTGTCCCGCAGCCCCTTCGCAGCCTGCGGTTCAAGCCTCTTGGCCTTGGCGTCCACAGTGAGCGCCAGGGGCTGCGTCTTCCGCCTGCTCCACAGCGGACTCAATGGTGCAGGAGCCTGATGACGCACAGAGCACAAGCTCGCTCCTCCCGGGGCTCCTCCGAGGGTGTCTGGGCTGCGCGGAGGTGCCGTGGGTGGCTGCTGTTTTGTTTGTTTTTGCGGCTGTGGACGCCTTTCAGTGCTGCCCTTGGCTTTGGGAGGGGCAGGAGCTCCCCCCTTTGCCCTTGGCGCCATCTTGGTGAAACGGTGTACATGACCTTGTGAAACTTGTGGTTTTCTTGGGGTGGGCGTGGTCCACACGCTGGTTGGGATACCCACGTCCCACGTCGGTGCCAGGGTGCCCCGCTGGACTCCAGCTTCCTGCTGATGCGCACCCTGAGAGGCTCAAGCGGTCGGGTCCCCACCACCCACGAGGGAGACCCCGACTGAGCACCCAGCTCCCAGCTTGGGCCTGGCTCGGCCCCAGCTGTTGCAGGCATTCGGGGAGTGAACCAGTGGGTGGGAGATCTCTGTGTCTGTCCCCCTCTCTCTCCACCTTTCAAATAAATAAATAAGGGACATGCGTCCGATTGCTCGGTTGCTGGGGGTGCACGGTAGGGACCCCTGGGTGGCTTTGGGGTGAGCTGGTCTGCGGTGAGTCTCCTGGCACTGAGGTGGACGAGGAAGTGAGCTAGCATGGTTCCGGTTCGGGAAGATGGGAAAGACAGACGTGGCAGTGGGGACGGCAGTGTGGACTCCCCTGGTACCGTAGAACTGTGCCGCGTGGCCCAGGCGGGAGAGTCCGTGTGTGTCCCTGCACTTCTGGTTTCGCAGGCACTGCTCAGCCGCCGTCCTCATGATCACGAGTGCTGAGTTCGAGTTTTGGGTGTTTCCGCTTAGGTTTTGTAGCGCGGTCTGGACCAAGTCCGCCAGGCAGGTGTCGCAAGTAGCTGTGGTTCCATGGTGGGGGGGGGGGTGTGGTTAGGGAGAGACAGACTGTCCTCCTCGGGCCTGGAGGACGTTCGGGGCCGTGGGGCCTGTACTGCTGGCCGTGCTGGGCGTGGACCTGCGTGGGGAGGACAGAGCCCTGAACTCTTTAGCTTGGCCCAGGAGGTCTGTGCGTGCACGTTGTGTTTGCAGCTTGAGTTGTGCTAAGCAGCAGGTGTGTGTGTGCGTGTGACGGGGCGGGGGCAGCCATGATTCCTGTCCAGCCCTCGGGAGACCTGTGCTCGGGGCAGAGCAGGCCTATGAGGGGTGGAAACATCGGCCCCGCCTTCCAAGGGCTTGCACGTACTTGCTCTTGCTCCCTGAAGAGCCCTGTGCCGTGCCGTGCCTCTCCTGGGCAGGTGCGTGCCAAGACCCCCATTGCCGACTCTGAGGCCGCCGCCGCCTCCTCCGGGTGCATCTGAGCCATGTAAGGGACGGGAGGTGATGCGTCTCCTGTCTGCAGCTTCGTCTCTCCTGGGGTTGTAAGGCGGTGTGCGTGCACGGTAGCACTTTCCCCATCGAATCTGCAGAGGTTCTGGTCCAGGCCGGCCTCTGCCGTCCCTGCGGGGGAGGTCCGGGGAGCAGCCCGATAGACCGAGGGCTCCTGTAAGTGACCCGGGCTCCGGCTTCCACGCCAGCCCCTCCGCTGCCCTGCCTTCTCCTCGGCCGAGCCCCGACGAGACCGGGGTGGAGGAGCAGCCGGGGGCTCGGGGCTCGGGCCGGGGCCAGGTGGGCGGCGGCCCCTGACCCACTGTGCGCTTCAGCCTCCAGGAAGTCGTTCGTGTTCGAGCTGAACGAGTGCGCCTCCAGCCGCATCCTGAAGCTCGAGAAGGAGAACCAGGGCCTGCAGAGCACTGTGCAGGGCCTGCGGGAGAGCGGCCTCCGGTGCGCCGAGCTGCAGAGGGAGAACGAGCAGCTGAGCAGGAAGGTGAGCCCCCCCACCTCAACCCGGTGCGCTGTGCACAGGAAGTGAGCGCCCATCACTCAGTGCACTGTGCACAGGAAGTGAATCCCCCCGAGCTGGTGCACTGTGCACAGGAAGTGAGCCCCTCCCCCCAGCCCGGTGCACTGTGCATAGGAAGTGAGCCCCCCCACCTCAACCCGGTGCACTGTGCACAGGAAGTGAGCTCCCATCACTCAGTGCACTGTGCACAGGAAGTGAATCCCCCCCAGCTGGTGCACTGTGCACAGGAAGTGAGCCCCTCCCCCCAGCCCGGTGCACTGTGCACAGGAAGTGAGCCCCTCCCCCCAGCCCAGTGGACTGTGCACAGGAAGTGAATCCCCCCACCTGGTGCACTGTGCACAGGAAGTGAGCCCCTCCCCCCAGCCCTGGTGCACTGTGTGCAGGAAGTGAGCCCCTCCCCCCAGCCCTGGTGCACTGTGCGCAGGAAGTGAGCCCCTCCCCCCAGCCCTGGTGCACTGTGCGCAGGAAGTGAGCCCTCCACCCAGTGTACTTGTACAGGAAGTGAGCCCCTCCCCCAAGCCCTGGTCCACTGTGCACAGGAAGTGAGCCCCCCCCACCCGGTGTGTCGCTCCCCCTCTTCGCGGAGGAACGACACAGGACCCTGCGCTGTTTTTTTGTCTGCTCGGCCCTTCCCGGGTTTGCTGCTGGTCCTTCCCGGGTTGGCTGCTGATCCTTCCACCTCCGTGGAAGGGCGGCTCCCCCTGCCACTTTCCCCACTTCCGCGGGGGAGCAGCACACCGCCGGCCGGCTTTCTCAGGGGCTGTTCAGATGTTATCCGGATGTTCCCCTTAGATGTTCCTGGTGCATGTTGTCTCTCTCCTCCTTTATAGTCCTCTTCCACCAATCCCAACTCTGCTACCCACACGCCGAGTACGCTGCTCTCCTCCAATCAGGAGCAGGATCAGCTCCTGCAGGTTATTGGTCGAACTGGAGGCAGCTGTGTAGAAGCTGTTTACTCCTCTCCCAGCACCATATTGTGGGAGAGCAGATGCATAGAATAAGTCTTAATTTCAGTAACTTAGTCTAGTCCGAGTTGCTCCCCACACCGGTGCACTGTGCACAGGAAGTGAGCCCCCCACCTGGTGCACTGTGTACAGGAAGTGAGCCCCCGCCCAGCCCTGGTCCACTGTGCACAGGAAGTGAGCCCCACTCCAGCCTCAGTCCACTGTGCACAGGAAATGAATCCTCCGTACTGGGTGCACTGTGCACAGGAAGTGAACCCCTCTCCCCAGCCCTGGTGCACTGCACACAGGAAGTGAGCCCCCCCCACCTGGTGCACTGTGCACAGGAAATGAGCCACCCCCAACCAGTGCACTGTGCACAGGAAGTGAGCCCCCGCCCAGCCCTGGTCCACTGTATACAGAAAGTGAGCTCCCTTCCAGCCATGGTGCACTGTGCACAGGAAGTGAGCCCCTCCCCTCAGCCCTGGTGCACTGTGTACAGGGAGTGAGCTCCCCGAAGCCCTGGTCCACTGTGCGCAGGAAGTGAGCCCCCGCCCAGCCCTGGTCCACTGTATACAGAAAGTGAGCTCCCTTCCAGCCATGGTGCACTGTGCACAGGAAGTGAGCCCCTCCCCTCAGCCCTGGTGCACTGTGCACAGGGAGTGAGCTTCCCAAAGCCCTGGTCCACTGTGCACAGGAAGTGAGCCCCCCCATTCGTGGTCTACTGTGCACGACAAGTGAGTCCCCCCCAGCGCTGGTCCACTGTGCACAGGAAGTGAGCCCCTCCCCCCAGCCCTGGTGCACTGTGTACAGGAAGTGAGCCCCTCCCCGAAGCCCTGGTCCACTGTGCACAGGAAGTGAGCCCCCCCATTCGTGGTTCACTGTGTACAGGAAGTGAGCCCCTCCCCCCAGCCCTGGTGCACTGTGTACAAGAAGTGAGCTCCCCGAAGCCCTGGTCCACTGTGCACAGGGAGTGAGCTCCCCAAAGCCCTGGTGCACTGTGCACAGGAAGTGAGCCCCCCCCCCAGTGCTGGTCCACTGTGCACAGGAAGTGAGCCCCTCCCTCCCAGCCGTGGTCCACTGTGCACAGGAAGTGAGCCCCCCCCATTCGTGGTCCACTGTGCACAGGAAGTGAGCCCCCGCCCAGCCCTGGTCCACTGTGTACAGGAAGTGAGCTCCCCTCCAGCCCTGGTCCACTGTGCACAGGAAGTGAACCCCTCCCCCCAGCCCTGGTCCACTGTGCACAGGGAGTGAGCCCCTCCCTTACAGCCCTGGTCCACTGTGTACAAGAAGTAAGCTCCCCGAAGCCCTGGTCCACTGTGCACAGGGAGTGAGCCCCTCGCTCCCAGCCCTGGTCCACTGCTCAGCAGAAAGGTGGCCGGGCAGCATCCCTGGTGTGTGTGGGGCCACCCTGCAGGGAGGGGCACGGGCTCCAGCGCAGTCACCAGGCAGCGCACCCTGTTGTCTCCCCCTGCGATGTGGGGTCCTGGGGTGCCCCCTGTGAGACGGACACCCCTTCCGCTCCTCTCCCTCCGTACCTCTTTCTCAGCACTTGACTGCTGACACTCGGCTGGGAGTTTCTCCTAGCAGGCCGCGCCCCGGTTCACACATAGGCCGACTGGCATCCTGGCACTTGGCTCTCACACCAGCTACAGGGACTCGGCACAGGCCCCACAGAGCCACTGCCATCCCTCCCCCAACGCCCATCCGAGCCCAGGTTCTCCCCGAGCTGCGAGCTGCTGGCTCTGAGCCGTGCGCTGCCCCACCTGGGCGCAGTCAGCTGCTGGACGGTTCCTGTTACTCACTGCTGAGAGGACCGCTCAGCTGCCGGGGGTGGGGCATGAGCGTTCCCTCCCTACATCACCTGGTCCCCGGTCCGGGAGCCTCTGGGCAGGAGCCTGTTCAAAGATGTATTTACTTACTGAAGTCAGAGTTACAAAGTGAGAGGGAGAGAGACAGATCTTGCAAATGAAGCCAGGAGCCAGGAGCTTCTTCCGGGTCTCCCATGTGGGTGCAGGGGCCCAAGCACTTGGGCCATCTTCTACTGTTTTCCCAGGCCATTAGCAGGGAGCTGGATCGGAAGTGAAACAGCTGGGACTCGAACCAGCGCCCGTGTGGGATGCCGGCGCCGCAGGCTGCAGTGTGAGGCTAGGGCTTGCTTAGTTGAATCATTGGCCATTGGTGATGAGCTCAGCCTGCAGCCTGTGTGCCTTCTCTGAAAGTCCCCCCTCTTTTAGCAGGGCTGGTTCCCGTGGCAACCAGCCCCTCCTGGGGCTCTCAGGGAGCCCCCAGCCCCCACCATCTCATTAGCATACAAAAAGACACTTAGCACTTAGGAGATCCCAAGGGTCTTAGGAGCTGTGTGCCAGGAAACTGGGGCAGAGACCAAATCCATACTTACTGTCATGTCACTACTGGGTGTATATAAGGAGGGGGGAGGGGAGGGTTCCAACAGAAGGAGAGCAGGGGGCAGCAGTGGTGTGAGGCACTGGGTACCCGGTGTTGCGTGGGGGACATCAACGATGGGAACATCCTGCAGGGTACACGTGTGTGTGTGTGTGTATGTGCACACGTGTGTGTGTGTGCAAGTGAGCCACGAGGAAGAGGGCCCTTGTCTTCAGGAGAAAGTGATGCTGTGGGTGCCTGCATGGGAATGGGGAGCCCAGGGCCTGAGAAGCACCTGTTGGCACGTGTGTCCCTGGAGACCCCAAGCCGCATGCCAGGATCCCCAGGAGGACAGAGAGCCCCGCAGGGCCGGGAGGTGGGCAGCTGGCTCCCAGCTCAGCACAGCGAGCCGGCTCAGCCCCGGGGTCCTTCAGGGAGGGGCGGGAGAACACAGGAGAGCTGAGAGGGCAGGATGAGGGTTCAGCAGGACAGGACGTGGAGCCAGAGTGGCACCCAGCACCGTCTGTCCTGGGGGGCGGGGAGCAGACCGGCAGCAAGGACCGGGGAGGTGCCAGGAGAGACGCAGCAAGGAGTGCGCTGAGTGGCTGAGCGACGTGGCCGCCTGGGCGGGGGTCCCGGGAGGCGGGTGGGGTCATGATGTCTCGTGTCCCGTGGAGGCGGCCCCCGGATGAGGGTCTGATGCCAAGGAGAGTGACAGAAGCAGAGCAGGGGACAGCGGGGGGCCGGGCAGGGACTGGGCGTGTGTGGGTGCCTGGTATGTGCGGGCCGCCGGCTGCGAGCCGATGGTTGAGGGTGTGGGGAGGCTGTGGGACAAAGCCTTGGAGCAAAGTCCCCTTGAAGTCTGGCGTGGGGCTGAGGGGCTTGGGTTTGGTTTGAAAGCGCGTCCGCCGGGCCGGGCTGATTGCTCCGGGCTGGGGCTTGGGCTCTGCAGGTGGAGAAGTTGCAGACCCAGCTGGAGAGAGAGAAGCAGAGCAGCCAGGACCTGGAGACCCTCAGCGAGGAGCTCCTCAGGGAGAAGGAGCAGCTGCAGAGCCACATGGAGACCCTGAAGGCCGACAGGGCCAGGCAGGTGGGCGCCAGCGCCTCGCGCCTCCCTGGGACTCGCCCGCGACAGGACCAGCCAACGGGGAGGAGGAGGGACGGCGGCCGCTCCTGGCTATGCCTCGTGGGTGTGGGGGGCTCCAGCCATTCTCACCCACGGTGGGGGCATGGGGTGGGTTCTGCCTCTCAGGGGACATTTGACGGTCTGGAGGGTCCTGACTTCAAGCGGGAGAGGGCTGGTCCTCCTGCACATAGCGGGCGCAGGTTGAGGGTGCTGCTGACCACTGGGAGGTGTACAGTGTCAGCCCTGTGACAAAGGATGAGCCACAGCCCTCAGTGTCTGGTGTCTCGGCGGGGAACCTTGGCCAACCACGCTGAGGCTGTCCCCCGCTGGTGCAGGCACCTGGGCATGTCCCCAAGGTCTGAGTGTGGGAGGAAGGTGCAGGGTGAGGAGTGTGCGTGCAGCCACTGCCCAGGCCGGAGCTGCAGGAGGCTGGGGCGTCCGGTGTTTGTCTCCAGCCTCTGTGCCGGAGCAGTATGCAGTGGGAGAGGAGAGGGCTAGGCAGGTGCTGCTCAGGGTGGAAAGACAGACAGCTCTGCCTGGGGTGGCCCCGGCCTGGGAGGCAGACGGCCGCCGGGGCGGGGGACTGCTGGGGAAGCGAGCCTGGGGCACAGGGCTGTGTTAGGAGTTGGCGCGTGTGGCTGCTCGGAGGGGCTGGTGCCACCGATGAGGAAGCAGAAAGCCCAGTGGCTGGACGAGAACTCACGGCAGAGGGAGCAGCATGTGCAAGGGCAGGAAGGGGCTGGGGCAGGGGCGGGCAGGCCTGCTCCCGACAGCTGGAACCGAGGGAGGCTGCTGGACGTTTTGGGTAAGGAAGATAGCTGCTGTTTGCTCTGACTTGGACCATCTCAGTCCTTGTGTGTGTGGGCTGTGGCCTGGCTCTGGGGGTGGTGTTTGGGTATACAATGGGAGGGCATCCCAGGCCCTGGCTGTCCAGTCGCCCTGCCCGGATCGTGGGAGTGGTTTGGTGAAGGGGCCTGGGTTGTGCCGTGTGTATCCTGCAGATCAAGGACCTGGAGCAGGAGAAGGACCAACTCAGCCGAGCCGTGCGGTCGCTGCGGGAGAGGTCACAGGTCAGCAGCGAGGCCTGCTTGAAAGACGCCGAGAGGGAGCACGGAGCCCTGCACTTGGCCATGGTGGACGCCGCCGGCCGGCCCGGCCAGCTGGAGGTGGAGCAGCAGCCACCGCGTGGGGACGCCGAGCAGGCCCAGGAGAAGGTGGAGCGAGTGGAGGCGCTGGAGCGGGAGCTGCGCCAGCTGGAGGAAGAGCGCGAGCAGCTGGCGGCGCGGGCCGGGGCCCTGCAGGCGGCTGCCGAGAAGGCCCAGGGCCTCGAGCAGGAGAACGGCACGCTGCGGAAGTCGCTGGACACGCTGCAGAACGTGGCCGTGCAGCTCGAGGGCCTGCAGCGTGACCGCGAGCAGCTGGCCCAGGAGAACCGGGAGCTGCGTGCCGCGGTGGAGGCCGTGCACCTGGGCCGCGCCAAGGTGGCACAGGTGCAGCGGGAAAACCAGCAGCTGGCGCGCGAGAGGGAGGTGCTGAGCCGCGACGTGGCGCTGCTCGCCGCCCTCGGCCAGCAGCCGGAGTGCCTGGAGCACGGCTCCCAGGGCGGCAGCGCCGAGGACCTGCGGCTGCCGCAGGGCCTGGAGCAGGAGCTGGGCGAGCTGGAGGCCGAGCGCCAGGCCCTGCGGCGGGACCTGGAGGCCCTGCGGCTGGCCAGCTCCCGGCTCCAGCGGGCCGAGGAGGACCGGAAGGCGCTAGAGCAGGAGGTGGCGCAGCTGGAGAAAGACAAGAAGCTGCTGGAGAAGGAGGCCCAGCGGCTGTGGCAGCAGGTGGAGCTCAAGGACGCCGTTCTGGACGACAGCACTGCCAAGCTGTGCGCCGCCGAGAAGGAGAGCCGCGCGCTGGACAGGGAGCTGGCCCGCTGCCGGGAGGCGGCCGGCAAGCTCAGGGAGCTGGAGAGGGACAACCGGGACCTCACCAAGCAGGTCACCGTGCACACGAGGACGCTGACGACCCTGCGGGAGGTGAGCGTCCCGGCGGGGGCGGGGCCGCCTCCAGAGTAGGAGGTTCCCCTGATCCTTCCTTCTCTTTCTCTCTCTCTCTTTTTGGAAATATTTATTTGAAAGGCAGAGGTAGGAGGAGAGAGAGAGGTCTTCCATCTGCTGGTTCACTCCCCAGTTGGCCGCAATGGCTGGAGCTGCGCCGATCCAAAGCCAGAAGCCAGGAGCCTCTTCCGGGTCTCTCACATGGGTGCAGGGGCCCAAGCACTTGGGCCATCTTCTGCTTTCCCAGGCCATAGCGGAGAGCTGGATCAGAAGTGGAGCAGCCGGGACTTGAACTGGCACCCATATGGGATGACTGTATTGCAGGCGGCAGCTTTACCCATTACACCACAGTGCCAGCCCCCATTCCTATAGATTTAATATGATTTTAGATTTTTAGGTTGTTTCTGATATTTTCCACTATTTTAAGTAATGCTAATCCTCCTTGTATACAGGCACCTGGAAATAGGATTGTAGGATCGAAGGTGGACCATGAGTCTCTTGCTGTATTTAAGGACCTCCAGGAGCGTCTGTCCTTGCCCTGGTGGGGACCACGGGGCCCTCTGGACGTGCTGGGATGTTACAGTGCCCAGCAGCTGCAGCCACAGTGTCTGGCGGCCTCATCGAGCCTTGTTCTCGCGTCTCCCCAAGTGGTCCCCTGTGTCCCCGCTGTGACTCCTGCTCCTGGCTGCTGGCCTCTTGTGCTCAGGCAGCCCCTGGTAGGGTCTGCTTCTGGCTCCTGTACATGGGTCAGGTGGACCAGAAGAGACAGAGAGAGGTGGTCTCTTGGCAGAACTCTGTCACTGCCGTCCACCGCCCAGTGGCCAGAGCCCTGCTCCAGCTGATAAAAAGAAATGAGGAGGAGGAGCAGGTGGCGCCTGTCCCTGTCCCCATGCCATGCAAATCCTGGGACTTGGAGTAAGCGTACAGGCAAACAGCCGTGACACCAGGCAGGCAGCGGAGCCCCCCAGGGAACCACCCAGGGCTGGGGAGAAAGGGGGTCAGGGAAAAGGAACCCCCAAGTGAGTTGCACACCCACATTTTGAAAAGGAAACCAGAGTTTAAAACAAAATCTTTCCCTCTTTATACCTCTTTCTGTTGATTTCAAATTGGTCTTTTTCTTTTTTTTTAAAGACTTCTTCACTTATTTCAAAGGCAGAGAAAGGTATCTTCCATTCACTAGTTCACTGCCCAAATGCCCTCAACTGCTGGGGCTGGGCTAGGCCAAAGCCAGGAGCCTGGAGCTCTCCATCCAGGTCTCCCACATGAGTGGCAGCAGGCCAGCACTGGGCCAGCACCTGCTGTTTCCCAGGTGGCTTAGCAGGGAGCTGGGGCGGAAGCAGACACATTGTGGCCCCTGTGCCATAGTGCCGACCGCCTCAGTGAGCTTTACGTTGCTTGTCACTCCGTAAAAAAGGCAACCATGTATCAGAAGGAAGCCCACTGCTCCAAGGCCAGCGTGTTTCAGACACGGTCCCGGAGGCTGAGCACCGTGGCTCCGTCCTGGACACCGCCCCGTGGGCTGGTTGTTCCCGGCACCAGGAGGGCAGGAGACGTGTCCTTCCCTGTCCTTGGGGAGAGCGTCCCTGGGGCCCGAACCTCCCAGCCGAGCTCACCCCATGCCTGGGGCAGCCAGGACGCAGAGACAGCTGCTCCGTGCTGGGGGGACCCCGCGGAGCCGCTGTCCAGGCTCATGGGTGCCTGGCCGTTGCAGGACCTGGTGCTGGAGAAGCTGAAGAGCCAGCAGCTGACCAGCGAGCTGGACCAGCTGAGCCAGGAGCTGCAGAAGCTGGGCCTCAGCAAGGAGCTGCTGCTGCAGGAGGACCACAGCGAGAGGTGAGCGGGGCCGGCGGCGGCGTCTCCCGGCGTCCCCCGGCGCCCCCCGGCACCCCCCGGCGCCTGGATGCAGCCCTCCCGGCTCAGGGCGCAGCCCGGTCCTCACGCTCCGGTCTTACTGCTCCAGGGTCTCTGGGAGCTGTAGAAGGAGAGTCTTTGGTCCGATCAAAGAGCTTCATACTATTTGGGGAGCAGGTGTTTGACTTAGCACGGCTTTTCCCTGCAGTGCTTTCCAAACCATTGCATTTTCCAAAGAAATTCGTTATCTTATCTGCGTGGTGCCTGAGCCTTGTAACTCAGGAAGTTACTTAACCGTTCCGTAACTCGGTTTCCCTACCTGGAAAATGGCCATCAGTGTGCATAGGTCCCCAAGACAGTGGCTAAGATGTAGCAGAGGTGTGGCCATCAAAGGGGCTCAGGGTGTCCACTTGGGTTCCCCAGAAAGGGCTTGGACAGGAGGCTCTCAGGGCAGTGGAGGTGGCCGTGTGGAGGCCGGGGCGGTCAGCAGTAGGAGCTGGGAGCTTGGCAGTGAGGAGGCGGGGTCGTTGATGCTGTCGTGTCTCGGTGTTTTCCAGAAAATACAAGATATTGGAGGGCAGAAATGAATCGGCATTGCAGACCACGCTGGCACTGAGAGAGGAGAAGATTGTGTTTCTAGAAGCACAGCTGGAGGAGAAAGCGGGCCTGAACCACCAGTTACAGAGCGAGCTCCAGACGGTGAGGGCTGGTGCCCTTAGGAGTGGGCTTGGGGTCCAGCTGCCAGCTCTGCCTCAGCCCCCGGCCCCTCCCCGGGTAGCAGAGGGGCAGCCAGGAGAGCCACTCCGTGGGGCCGGGGCGGGTTACAGGGAGCTGCTGTCAGAACTGCAGGCGCTGGGGCAGCGCAGAGCCAGAGTGGGAATCGGAGGCCGAGGGGGCGAGAGGAGTAGCAGCTCAGAGCAGGACCACGTGTCCCCAGTGGGATCTGGGGTGCTCATAGGCGCCCCCTCCATGCAGCTGTGAGCTCCAGACACCCACACAGGCCTGCAGCCCCGGGAAGGGGGCATCTAGGGGAACAGGGTGAGCTCCAGACACCCACACAGGCCTGCAGCCCCGGGAAGGGGGCATCCAGGGGAACAGGGTGAGCCCCAGGCACCCACACAGGCCTGCAGCCTCAGGGTGTAGGACACAGGGGCTCGGAAGGACATGCACAGGCTACTCCTGGGTTCACATGTTCTCCACATGCGTACACGAGTGTGCACATGCCACATACATAACACGCGTGCTCCCCATGCTCTGCACACATCTACTGGTGAACACGTGCACACTTCTTGGCTGCAGGAGTGAATCAGAACCTGGGGCAGGGCAGTCAGAGCTGCCGGGCTCATGAGCTACCTGACCACCTGGTCCCTGTCCCCGGCCTCACCTCCATGGCGTGGAGCAGACACCTGAGGCTCAGGAAAGCAAGACGACCCACCCCCCCTCCCGGGGGTGGGGGTGGGAGGTGGTGTCCTGGCCCCGACCCTCCTCTCGTCCAAGGTCAGGAAACGGGGAAGCCACAGGGCACAGGTCGTGTGCCGTCCGCGAACGCGGCAGGCAGGCAGGCGGCCGGCAGGTGCGCACCAGGGCTGAGCCGAGTGTGGGGCTCCCAGCCAGCTCGCTCCTGCTGAGGAAGTCGCTTGTGTGTTGCGGGCCCGCAGCTGAAGGAGGAGTGTGAGGTCCTGCGGCAGGCTTCGGAGGCGGGGGCACCCCTGCAGGGTGCTTCCAGACACGTGGAGGAGGAGGCCTGGGGACCCAGCCACAAGGAGGCCACCTTGGAGCTGCTGCGGGTCAAGGACCGGGCCATCGAGCTGGAGCGAAATGTGAGTGGGCAGCTGCTGTGGCCGGAGGGGGCCCGTCCTACGCCCCCACTGGTAGCGCGTCCTTGCTGGCGGGGGCACAGGACAGTGGAGCCGATGAGGTTTCCCCAGTCGTCAGCTCGACCCGCGATCGTGCTCCCGGCATGGCCCAAGGGCTCCTCCTCATTTGAGGTCCCTGGAGCACCGTACCTCTCAGTGCCGTGTGCCAGGGGCTGACGGCCTGTGGCCCCACCTGTTCGTATCAAGTATTTATCTGAGATAGGGAGAGCAGGTCCCTCCCCCAAAGCCCACAGTGGCCGGGCCTGTGCTGTGACCGAATCTGATTGCGGGGACCTCAGTCCAGGTCTCCCGTGTGGGTGACAGGGACCCAGGCGCTGGAGCAGAGCCAGTGTCAAATCCAGGTACCCCCACGGGACGCAGGCATTGCAACTGCTAGGCCTGACGCCACCTCTGTAAACAGCTGGGTGGGATCGCGGCCGTGCGCTGGGTTGGGTGACCTCTGGGTCACAGTGGCCCAGTTAGGTGGCTGGGTGACAGAACATGCGGTTGGTAAACCTGCAGATATACAGCATGAGGCTGCTAACGCACATCTGTGTTCTGATTCTGATTCTCAACAATGACTCTGCAAGTCCACAGTGACCACTTTCAGTATTTGACAAATGAGGAAGCAGAGACAGCCTGACCCCAAGTCCTGCACGCATGAGGGATAGTCCAAGGCCACACCCGGCGCCCTGGCCCCTAGCCCAGGACCTGGGTGTACCGTGAAGCCCCTCCTTCCCCTACAGCTGCTCCTGAGTAGGGTTGAGCTGTAGCCTGAGGCTTCTGGGAGACCAGGGGCTCCCACTCAGTGGGATCCGGCTCCCGAAAATGCACTCCCAGGGTGCTCAGCAGGAAGCAGAGGGAAGCGTTGAAGGGAAAAAGGGAGAAGTAGCTTAAATCCAGCATGGAGCCGGCGCCACAGCTCACTAGGCTAATCCTCTGCCTTGCGGTGCCGGCACACCGGGTTCTAGTCCTGGTTGGGGCGCCGGATTCTGTCCCAGTTGCCCTTCCAGGCCAGCTCTCTGCTGTGGCCTGGGAAGGCAGTGGAGGATGGCCCAAGTGCTTGGGCCCTGCACCCCATGGGAGACCAGGAGAAGCACCTGGCTCCTGCTATCGGATCGGCGCGGTGCGCCGGCCGCGGCGGCCATTGGAGGGTGAACCAACAGCAAAGGAAGACCTTTCTCTCTGTCTTTCTCTCTCTCACTGTCCACTCTGCCTGTCAAAAAAAAAAAACAAAACAAAAAAACAAAACAAAACAGCACGGCCTTGGCGCGCACTCTCACACTCAGGGCTGCAGCCGTGTTCCGGGGTGTGTGTGACCTTTAGGAGGGAATTGTGAGTCCCCTCCCTCTGTGGACCCTGACCCTGGCCCCCAAAGCCGCGGCTGTCAAGGGCGGCCAGCGGAGACTGAGTGGCCCGTGCCTCCCTGTCCCTTAGAACGCGGCTTTGCAGGCCGAGAAGCAGCTGCTGAAGGAGCAGCTGCAGCACCTGGAGACCCAGAACGTGGCGTTCAGCAGCCAGATCCTGACGCTGCAGAAGCAGAGCGCCTTCCTGCAGGAGCATAACACCACGCTGCAGACGCAGACGGCCAGGCTGCAGGTGAGCGGGGAGACGGGCGGCGGGTGAGCGGGGAGACGGCCAGGCTGCAGGTGAGCGGGGAGGCGGCCAGGCTGCAGGTGAGCGGGGAGACGGCCAGGCTGCAGACGCAGACGGCCAGGCTGCAGGTGAGCGGGGAGGCGGCCAGGCTGCAGGTGAGCGGGGAGACGGCCAGGCTGCAGGTGAGCGGGGAGACGGCCAGGCTGCAGGTGAGCGGGCAGACGGCCAGGCTGCAGGTGAGCGGGGAGGCGGCCAGGCTGTGTGCTGGCGCCGCAAGGCGGAGGACTAGCCTAGTGAGCCGCGGTGCCGGCCCCTAATTTGAAATTTTTAAAATAATCTTGGCTATTACGTTCTTACTGATTTTTTTATTTGAGAAAGAGAGAGTTATGTTCTGTCTGCTGGTTTGCTCCCCAAATGCCCACACCAGCTGGGCTGAGCCAGGCTGAAGCCAGGGAGCTGGGAGCTCCGTTCCAGTCTCCCACGTGGGTGGCCGGGGCCCGCGTACTTGAGCCATCGCCTGCTGCCTCCCAGGCGCATCAGCAGGACCCAGAACCCAGGCTTCCCAGGCAGGGGCTGAGCCCATGCTCTGCCCTCCCACGGATGTGAATGCTGAACCTCAAGAGGGGAAGTGGGGGATGAAGTGGCTTCCGGGCTGCTGAGAGCAGCAGACCTGGGGTCTCGGGCCACCTCGGAGGCCAGTTCTTCATCTGCGCTGAGCAGACGGTGGGAAAGTGAGTCACCACTCAGGCACACAGCTTCCGAGGAAAGTTCGTCCCTGTGTCACTCACGAGACAGGGACAGTCCAGAGAGGTCGGATTTGTCCCGTTTGCACCAGAAGTCAGGACGCTGGTCTCTGGCGTTGTTCCTCCTTGTGAGGGCTTTGTCTGGTTTTAATATCAGGGTCGTCCTGTGGTTGTTCATGTCGTCAGGTGCAATGTTACAAATATCAGCTGTGTTAGTCCAGCGGATGCCGTCTCTACTCTCCTGTTTCTAGAAAACAAGCCTTTTTTTTTTTTTTTTTTTTTTTTAAGATTTATTTCTTAATTAGAGAGAGAGTCTATCTGCTGGTTTACTCCCCAGATGACCACAATGGCCAGAGCTGGGCTGATCCAAAGCCAGGAGCCAGGAGGTTCCTCCAGGTCTCCCACGCGGGTGCAGGGGCCCAAGGACTTGGGCCATCTTCGACCGCTTTTCCAGGCCATTAGCAGGGAGCTGGATCGGAAGTGGAGCAGTCAGGATGAGAACTGTTGCCCGTGTGGGATGTTGACATCACAGGCAGTAGCTTTGCCCACTACACCGCAGCGGCGGCCCCCAGAAAACAGCCTTTTAAAGCGAGTCAGTGAGGGCGCTGGAGGAGGTTATCCCGAGAAAGGACATCATTTGCCCCAGAAGGCTGCCTTTGTGGGCAGAGGCTCAGGTTCCGGCACCGTGTGCTGGGCCGTTTGTTTGGTCCCCTGCACGGAGCAAGTCCTCATGTTCTGGGAGCGCTGTCCTGGCTGCCCCGAGGGCCCCGGTGCTTTGCCGTCTGCCCCTCCTGGGCCTGCTCACTCTCTGGGGGGGTCCTTGGCTTCTCCTCGCAGGTGGAGAACTCCACGCTGAGCTCCCAGAGTGCCTCGCTCACGGCGCAGTACGCACTGCTGCAGAGCCAGCAGACAGCCAAGGAGGGCGAGCTGGACAGCCTGCGGGAGCAGCAGGAGCGGCTCACGGCGGCCCACGAGGCACTGCTGCAGGACCACGAGCGCCTGGGCGCCCTGCACGAGCGCCAGTGCGGCGAGTACGAGGCTCTCATCCGCCAGCACGGCTGCCTGAAGACGCTGCACCGCAACCTGGAGCTGGAGTTCAAGGAGCTGGGCGAGAGGTGGGTCTGGGCGCGCGCGGCCGGAGGGAAGGCCCGGGGCAGGTCGGGCGGCCTGGGCCGGCTGTCTGGTGGCCCCGAGGGCCTGGGGCTTCCCGTGGCCGCCCCTGCGTTTCCTCCTGGCGTGGGGCTTCCCATTGTTGGGGCTCCTGAGCTTTCCCAAAGGGAAGGAAGTCAAATATCGCCTTCAGCAATTTGGAGTTTGTGCAGCTGGGGCCGGGGGAAGCCCCCACGGGCATCCGGGACCCTGTTCTCCGGAGGTTCTCGCCCCTGCCCTTTCCCCTGGAGGCCAGGGGTAAGGAGGGCACCGTACAGCTCCGGCTCACAGGGAGGTCCACCTCCAGCACCCATGCCTTCTGTTCCGGGTCAGGGTCTTGCTTTTTCTTTTTAAATATTTTTTAAAAAGTTAGTGTCATCTACTTGGAAGGTAGAGGGACAGAGATTTCAGATGCCCACAAATGCCCGTGATAGGCCAGGCTGGAGCCAGGAGCCAGCAACTCCATCCAGGTCTCCCACGCAGGTGGCAGAGTTCCAAGCACTGGAGCCGTCACCTGCTGCCCCCCAGTTTGCGTTAGCCGGGAGCTGGGTTAAGTGGAGCAGCTTGGACTCCAACTGTTGGCTCCAGTGCGAGATGCCGATGTTGCAAGTGCTGGCTTACTTACCCGGCTGTGCCATCATGCCTGTCCACCATCCTTGTTCCTTTTTAAAGATTTATTTATGTATTTATTGTGAAAGAGTTAGAGGAACGAAGAAAGAGAGGAAGGTCTGCCATCCACTGGTTCACTCCCCAAATGGCCACTTCCCCAGGGCTGAGCCAGGAGCTTCAGCCAGGTCTTCCACATCAGTGGCAGGGCCCAGCCCTTGGGCTGCCTTCTGCTGCTTTCCCAGGCCGTTAGGAGGGAGCTGGGTCAGAAGTGGAGCAGCCAGGCCTCTGTGGGATGCTAGCGTTGCAGCTTTTCCTGCTACTCCACAGCGCTGGCTCCCCTCCCCCCACTTTTTTCTTTTTTATTGTAAGCTTCCACAGTGTGGAAACTTCTGGCTCTGCAGGACATAGGCAGAGACTCCAGATGCGCTCCAGTTTACAGTGGTCACTTCGCAGTCAGCCTCGTTTGTGTAGTGTCCTCAGTAAATGTACTGACTTGGAGAACGGCACCCTGGGAAGCCCCGTGGTGTGCCCTGGTGGCGTCACCGGGGAGGACTGGGCCGTGCAGGCTGGAGTATGACTTCTCCCGAGTGTTCCATCGTAGCCCTGGAAGCCCCCAGGTGAAGCGCTGTGAGTCCAGCACCCTCGGCAGAGCAGCGCCGTGCACCTGTCAGGTCGCCTGCAGTTACCTGGGCGCTGCCTTCTTGTCTTCTCTGTCCCTCCTGCTGTCTGCCGCCAGGCCTTCCCCCACCTTAGGTAAAACCTGCGTGTGTTGAAAGGCACTAATCTCTTTTGTTTTTAAAAGGTGTATTTACTTATTTGGTTTTTTTTTTTTTTTTTTTTTTTTTTGATAGGCAGAGTGGACAGTGAGAGAGAGACAGAGAGAAAGGTCTTCCTTTGCCGTTGGTTCACCCTCCAATGGCCGCCGTGGCTGGCGTGCTGCAGCCGGTGCACCGCGCTGATCCAAAGGCAGGAGCCAGGTGCTTCTCCTGGTCTCCCATGGGGTGCAGGGCCCAAGCACTTGGGCCATCCTCCACTGCACTCCCGGGCCACAGCAGAGAGCTGGGTCTGGGGTTTTGTGTTCAAAAAGTCAGCCAGCATCGGCTGAGTTCCCACCCCCACAGAGGCCACAGCTGGCACTGGACCCCTGGGGCAGGGGCAGCAGGACCTGGAGGGGAGGGGGCACGCCCCTGAATCTGAGAGGTAGGCATAGCTGAAGAGAGGTGCCCAGGTGCCCAGCGGGGAGCCAGAGAGAGGGCCGCCCGCCGCCTTTGCTGCCGGTGTCTCCGAGTCGGCCTCGGCGGGCACCTAAGCAGAACTGCGTCCTGCAGGTGGGAGCAGCTGGCAGGCACGAGCTGAGCTCGGGCAGCCGCGCGTGGGTGCTGATGGTGCTCATGGGCGGTGGTGGCCCCATCGCTTCATTCCCCAGTCCCCCCCACCCCCATCCCTGTCCGTCGAGGGCTGTGGAGGCGTCTGCCCCACGACTCTTCCTTCCAGCCAAAGTGACCGCTTCTGCACACTGCTCCTCCTGCTATCATCCCGTCTTCGTGCATACATGTATTGAGCACCTGCTGTCTACACGATGCTGGGTCTAGACCCGGTGGGGGTACGCCCAAGCGACAGACTGGCCGAGTAGAATGCGGAGTAGGCGGCTGTGATGGGAGCGCGATGCCCCTGCTCACCAACGCTGTGCAGGCGCCTTATTCTCGGTGCCCTGTTTGCTGGAATAAACGTCTTGCATTCTTCATGTCCGTTCATGGCGGGGGGGGGGGGGTGTTGCAGGTGGGATTTAGGCGATGCCAGGGTGGCCTTCCTGCCGTGAGCCCCACAGCTCTCTGCCTGTTGCAGCCGGCTGCAGCCGCTGAGCTGGTTGGACTGTGGGCTTCAGGCAGAGGAGCGTGGGGACCCAGGTGTTTTCCACCTGACGCCTGAACACGGCGAGCTGGCCCAGCACGGCTGCCCCGTGTCTCCGTGCATCACGGCTGCCCGGGGGACCTGGTAGAAGCCTCTGCCCCGTCCTCGTGTGCTCTGTGCACTTTTCCAAGGCGTCACAGCAGGGAGCAGGATTCGGGCCGCCTTCCTGTGGCCTGCATTTGTTCAGCGTGATGCGTTTTTCTAGACTCGTCAGCCTGGGTGAGGAGGTTTGCCACCCCGAGAGCCAGGCCGAGCCTCCACCCTCAGGCTGGGCCACATCGGGGCTGAAGGCCACGCAGACGTCTCTGTAGGCGGCCGCCTGAGCAGCTGTCCTAGTGGGTTTGGCCCCACAGAGGTGGTGCAGGACAACGATGGAGGCTGGGGTCTGGCCTTCTGTGGGCGGGAGGCCCTCATGGAGAACTGGGGATGTGTAGGGGGTCTTTGCCCAAACAGGGGACGTGGGGAGCTTGTGCCCCGGACCCCTCCCCACTCCCAGTCTGCCGTGCGCCTCCTGGTCTTGGAGGAGATCCTGGGTCCTCTGAGAACCTAAAATGTTCCAGTGGGGGGGTGGCCCGGGCACACTGGGGGCTCCATCCATGTGCTCTGCGGTGTGGGGGAGGGGAGGGCTGTGTGCACATGCATGGGCAGCCACTGCTGGCCCTGGCGGCTCCTGGGCAAGCGATGGAGCCATCGTGGGCCCCCCAGGGGAAGGGGCGAGGAGAGGCGAGCTGCCACGCAGTCTCATCTGGATGATTGCCTTGCGGCTTGCTCGGGGTCCGCCTGTTCTTCCAGGAGCACCGGGTAACGTGCTCGTAATTCCCTGAAAGAGAAGGCCTGGAGCTCAGGAGACGCAGACCTTGGTCCCAGGTGGCCCTGGGAGGAGGGGCCCTGGGGACCCCAGGCTGCAGGAAGAGGGTTCCGGGCTCTGTGCTGGGAGCTGGGCTCGTCACTGCCTCGCCCCTGCCTGGTCCCTTGTCCCCTGCCCCCTGCAGGGAGGTCTCCTGAGGAGTCCCGTTCCCTCCCGGACCCGGGCCCCTTCCAGCGAGTGCTTCCCTCCCGCAGGCACGGGGACCTCCTGGCGCACAAGGCCGCGCTGGAGGAGCTGGAGAAGGTCCTGACCGCGGAGCGGGAGGCCCTGCAGCAGGAGCGCAGGGCGGACGCCGTCGCCGCGGGCGAGAACCAGAGGCTGCGGGGAGAACTGGACAGGTAGGGCCCGTGCGCCGGGTGCCGCCACCCCTCCCCCCGCCCAGCCCCCAGGACTCTGCTGAGGCCAGTCCTGTGAGCGATCCCCAGGAGGCACAGTGAGTCTGACGCCCGGGTGTCTTCCACACGGGGTCGTGTCACCGGCTGCCCCGGGGGAGACCGTAAAAGGCAGCTCCGGCTGTTGCCGCGTGGAAGGGCGCGGGTGATGCCGGGCCTGTGCCTTCTCTGCATTGGGTGGTCCCCACCTGCACCTTTGGGGGAGGGTGTCAGGCCCAGGGCTGTTCCTTACCTGCCTCGGCCGACGGGTGTCTGGTGGGAGGCTCGGCTGCTGCTCACTGTTCCGAGTCCGTGTCTGCGAGTGCTCTGCTTGCTAAGTCTCTCTGGTGCTCACGGGGACAGGCCCAGGCCCAGGGGGTGAACGGCTGGAGTCGCCAGATGCGCCGGCTCCCCCTGAGGCTGGGCGAGGGGACGCTCCCCCTCGTGTTTGAGCTCTTCTGCCAACAGATGTTCCAGGTCCACCCAGGACCGCGTGTCCGTGGACTGTGCCTTTTGTTGATTTCATGGTAGGGAGTGGGCCCCGGGCGCAGTGCGCCAGTGCTGCCCAGCGCTGCCCAGCGCTGTCCGGTGCTGTGAGTGTGAGAAGGCTGTGGCACGTGTGAGAGGAGGTACTGTGTCAGGATGCTCCCCCGGGCACGGTGCCCCCCCGTGGCTGTGAGTGTGACGCACAGGATCTTGAAACAGAAACCCCAGGGCTGGGGTTGTGGTGCGGCTGGATAAGCTGCTGCTTGCAGCACTGACATCCGGTGTCGGAGCCCTGATTCACACCCCAGCTGCTCCGTTTCCATTCCAGCTGCGTGCTGGTGCGCCTGGGAAAGCAGCAGATGGCCCCAGTACTTGGGCCCTGCCATCCACGTGGGAGATCTGGATGGAGCGCCTGGCTTCAGCCTGGCTGAGACCCAGCTGTTCTGGCCATCTGGGGAGTGAACCAGCACATGGAAGATATTCATTTTCTTTCTTTCTTTCTCTCTCTCTCTGCCTTTTCATAAAGAAATCTTAACAAAATAAACAGAAACCCACATAAGCAAGGTTGCGTATTGGTCATGTGTTGATTGACTGATGGAAATGTGACCAGAGAGCCTTAGGATCCGAGCCTTCTCCCCTTGTCCCTCAGCGTCCACAGGGCTGGTTCCAGGACGCTGTGGACGCTGGAATCTGAAGATGCAGAGCCCCTTACGTGTCGTATTTGCACGTCCTCCCGTGTGCTTTAAATCATCCCCAGGGTACTTCCGGTGCCTACTGATAATCTAAGTGCTGTGTAAACGGTTGTTCTGCTGTGTTGTTCAAGGAATAATAAGGAAACAGGCATGTACGTGGTCATTACAAACACAGTCGTTTTCCCAGATTTTTTATTTGAGGGGCCGGCGCTGTGATGTAGCAGGTAAAGCCGCCACCTGCAGTGCCAGCATCCCATATGGGTGCCAGTTCGTGTCCCGACTGCTCCACTTCCTATCCAGCTCTCTGCCATGGCCTGGGAAAGCTGTAGAAGATGGTCCAAGTCCTTGGGCCCCTGCACCCACATGGGAGACCTGGCAGAGGATCCTGGCTTTGGATTGGTGCAGCTCTGGCCGTTGCGGCCAGTTGGGGAGCGAACTAGCGGATAGAGACCTCTCTATCTGGTGCTTGCTCGCTCTCTCTCTCTCTCTCTCTCTCTCTTTCTCCCTGCCTCTCCTTCTCTCTGTGTAACTCTGACTTTCAAGTAAATAAATAAATCTTTAATTTTTTTTTATTTGAAAGGTAGAGTGACAGATCTTCCATCTGCTGGTTCATTCCCTGGATGGCTGCAACAGCCAGTGCTGGGTCACACTGAAGCTGGAGCCAGGAGCTTCTTCCGAGTCTCCCACGTGGGTGGCAGGGGCCCAAGCACTCAGGCCATTGTTTGCCACCTTCCCAGGCACACTAGCAGAGAGTTGGATTGGAAGTGTGCTAGCTGGGACTTGAACCAGCAGTCAGATCAGACCAGCACCCTGATATGGGGTGCTGGTTGTTACATGTGGCAGCTTAGCCTGCTGTGCCACATTGCTAGCCTTTTTTTTTTTTTTCTTAAATACATTTTGTTCTGTTTTTTCAGTCTGTTTATTCTGAAAGGTTGAGTGGCAGGGAGAGGAGGTGAGGGAGGGATCTTCCATCTGTCACTGGTTCACTCCTCAAATGACTGCAACAGCCAGGTTTGGGCCAGGCCAAAGCCAGGATCCAGGAACTTCATACAGGTCCCACGTGGGTGCTGGGGACCCCAGCACTTGGGCCGTCTGCTGCTGCCTTGCCAGGTGTGTTAGTAGGAAGCTGGATCAGAGGTGCAGTAGCCAGGACTCAAACAGGCACTTGATACATGGGATGGTGGCATTGCCAGCAGTGGCTTAACCTGCTGTGCCGCAACGTTGACCCCTTCCTGGATTTTTTTTGAAGATTTATTTATTTAGTTATTTGAAAGGCAGAGTTAGAGAGGTAGAAACAGAGAGAGGTCTTCTACCTGCTGGTTCACTCCCTAAATGGCACAGTGGCTGGAGCTGAGCTGATCGGAAGCCAGGAGCCAGGATCTTCTTCTAGGTCTCTCATGTGGGTGCAGGGTCCCAAGGACTTGGGCCATCTTCCACTGCTTTCCCAGGCCACAGCAGAGAGCTGGATCGGAAGTGGAGCAGCCGGAACTAGAACTGGTGCCCATGTGGGATGCTGGCACGGAAGGTGGCGACCTTACCCGCTACGCCACAGCGCCGGCCCCCATCGACCATACTGTTCTTACTCCATTTTTACAGCTGACAGAACAGGCTCAGAGAGATGTTAACTTGGCCAAGGTCAGTGCTTCCAGGCGCTGGCAGACTCAGGACTGAACCAGGTCTTGTCTCACTCCAAGGCACACCGTGTGGGGCTTCCCCTCCCCCGTTTCCCTGTGTTCACACACACTGGGGTTGGTGGACTTGGGTGCCTCTGGTGAGCAGGGTGTGGAGCCCCTGGGTGCGACAGTGCCGGCCACGGATGCGAGGCGGTGACTGGAGAGTGCACGGTGCCGGCTCTGCAGCCCGGCCGCGGTCGTGTCTCCAGCAGGGGTGGCGGCCGGGAGGCGGGCCGGAGCTGCCAGCCGTGCTCGGTCTCAGTGTTCAGAGACTGGATCTCTGGGTGTAGCTGTGAAACTTCCAGGTGGCTAAAGTGTGGGCAGCTGATTTATTTTTTTTTGACAGAGTGGACAGTGAGAGAGAGACAGACAGGGAGAAAGGTCTCCCTTTGCCGTTGGTTCACCCTCCAATGGCCGCTGCGGCTGGCGCACCACGCTGATCAGAAGCCAGGAGCCGGGTGCTTCTCCTAGTCTCCCATGGGGTGCAGGGCCCAAGCACTTGGGCCATCCTCCACTGCACTCCCTGGCCACAGCAGAGAGCTGGCCTGGAAGAGGGGCAACCAGGACAGAATCCGGCGCCCCAACTGGGACTAGAACCCAGTGTGCTGGCGCCACAGGCGGAGGATTAGCCTAGTGAGCCATGGCGCCGGCCTGATTTGTTTCTAAAAAGTGAAACTGGGTGGGCCAGCCTAGGCCTGTCCACGCCCATCAGACCTTGGGATTTGAGCTCTGTGGTACAGGCTTCCGAGAAATCCCAGCTGGAGCAGAGCTAGGCTGCTGCTGTTGTTGCTTTTTAACAGGTTTACATACTCCTCCGCCATGTGCTATTGGGTTGCTCTTTGGAGCTGAAATTGCAAAGGGGCTTGACTGAGAGCTGGGCAGAGACGCAGGTGGAGTAGCTGTGCATAGACGCAGGTGGAGTATCTGGGCAGAGACGCAGGTGGAGTAGCTGGGCAGAGACAGGTGGAGTAGCTGGGCAGACAGGTGGAGTAGCTGGGCATTGACGCAGGTGGAGTAGCTGGGCAGACAGGTGGAGTAGCTGGGCAGAGACGCAGGTGGAGTCGCTGTGCATAGACGCAGGTGGAGTATCTGGGCAGAGACGCAGGTGGAGTAGCTGGGCAGAGACAGGTGGAGTAGCTGGGCAGAGACGCAGGTGGAGTAGCTGGGCATAGACACAGGTGGAGTAGCTGGGCATCGATGCGGATGGAGTAGCTGTGCATAGACACAGGTGGAGTAGCTGGGCATAGACAGGTGGAGTAGCTGTGCATAGACACAGGTGGAGTAGCTGGGCATAGACAGGTGGAGTAGCTGGGCAGAGACAGGTGGAGTAGCTGGGCAGAGACGCAGGTGGAGTAGCTGGGCAGAGACGCAGGTGGAATTTGGTGCAGGTGTTCTGATTCTGTACTTCAGAAAAGTTGTTTTAACAAGCCTTCTCTGCACGCGTGCAGGGGTGCCAGAGCCCAGATGTGGTTCAGGGAGCCACACGGCGCTCTACCCTTCGCCAACAGCACGCCGTTCAAGCCCCTCGCTGTAACTCGTGGGAAAAGCCGAGGCCCGGCAGATGGCTGAGGTCTGCGGGTGCTCAGGGCCCGGCTCTCGGCCCTGCCCCCTTCGGAGGCTCTCAGCCCTTTTCCTCCTCAGGGTCACCTTGCTGCACCACCAGCTGAAGGGGGAGTACGAGGAGCTGCACGCCCACACCAAGGAGCTGAAGACCTCGCTCAACAACTCGCAGCTGGAGCTGAGCCGCTGGCGGGCGCGCTTCGACGAGCTGAAGGAGCAGCACCAGAACATGGACATCTCGCTGACCAAGCTGGACAACCACTGCGAGGTGAGGAGCCCGTGCCCGGGGCCCCGAGGCGGGGAAGGGACGGAGAGGGCACACGCGAGGCGTGGGAAACCGTCCGTCCAGTCTCGGCAGGGTGGGGAGGGTGCGTGGAGACAGCTGGCCGGGCTCGCTGACCGTCCTCAGCTGCGTCCGCACCGCCTTCCGTGGCTCTCCACGTCAGTCCCACACTGTTCTGACAGGCACGAATTGGCCTCATGTTTTAGGTTTGGCTGACTCTGGCTCAGGCTCCTGGGAATCAGGAGTCCCCAGGTGCCAGGGGGTCACAGCTGTCCCACCTGGGACAACAGGCTGGAAACGGACCCTGTCCGCAGACAAGCGCCTGGACACACCCCATGACAGGGAAGGCACAGTGGGTCTGGCAGGGACGCGTGAGGAGCCTCCATGCCCCTCCGAGACACCACAGGACGGCCCGTGTCCTCAGGACGCTTGTCTTTCGTTCGTCAAGAGCTGACCTCAGAGGTGTTTCCTGTGGCTGCGCAGTAGCTCTCTGAGACATCACCGACGAGGAGCCTGGAGCCTGGGGTGCCACGTGCCTGGTCCCAGCCAGATGGCCGGCTGGCCCCTGACGCAGGGGGTGGCACAGAGACCGGGCCGCCTGCATCCCATGGAGGAGTGCCTGCGTCTGGGCCCTGGCTCTGCTTCCCGTCCAGCTCCCTGCCAGTGCAGACCTGCGCCCCTCCGCCCACATGGGAGACCTGAATGCAGCTTCCAGCTCCCAGCTCCGGCCTGGCCCAGCCTTGGCTCTGCAGGTGTTGGGAAGTGAATGAGCAGACAGAAGCTCTCTGTCTCTCTGCCTTTCAAGCACATAAATAGCACATCTTTGTGCACCTGATTTTCTCTCGGAAGCCAGATGCCCGCAGGGGCCACCTGGGCCCCAGGGTGTTTGAGACGCTGCCGGTCTGTGTTTCAGCTGCTGTCCCGCCTCAAGGGCAACCTGGAGGAAGAAAACCATCACCTCCTGAGCCAGATCCAGCTGCTGAGCCAGCAGAACCAGATGCTGGTGGAGCAGAACATGGAGAACAAGGAGCTGTTCCACGAGGAGCAGAAGCAGTACATGTAAGAGGGGGCAGGCCGGCTGCCCCGCCCACGCCCGTCCCCTGGCACTGGCCACACAGCGCAGCCCCCGCGGACGGACCGAGTCCCCCACGCAGGCTCCCCCGGTGGCCCGGCAGTGCTGCGGATGTCTGCGCAGGGCAGTGGTCAGCTTTGGTTTGCTCTTTTGAGAGCAGGTGTTCGCCACCAGGAAGGGTTTCTGCTGCTGGACGGCATGGGGGCGGGCCCTGCAGGAGGGGCGTGGCTGGCAGCGGGGTGCGGAGAAGAGCAGGGGGCCGCTTAGCTGTGGAGGCGTCCGTGCCTGGCTGGACTCTGGGCTCACTGGGGAGTTTGTGAAGGGCTGCTCGTCCAGCAGGGCCTAGGAGGTTGCCAGAGGCAGAGGCCAGCGGGGAGAGCCCTGGCGCTGGCGACCTCGTGGCTCGGGAGTGAGCCACCCAAGACACACTCTGGGAGCCACAGTGCTTTCTGTCTGAGCTGTAGCGGTAGACCTGTCCTTCCACGTGGTCAGGAATGGCCAGCATTGGCAGGCCCTGGAGTGGGGGCGTGAGCGGGGTGAAGGCAGGAAGAGACAGGGTTGGGGGCACCGTGGGCTCCCGGGGATCTGCCCGGCTCCTTCCCCTGGCTGAAGGGGCCCACCACCTCCCGAGGGTGGGCAGTGTGCAAAGCCGCACCGTCCTGGGGGCATTGCCAGCTGCCTGAGCCAGTCCTGGGTGTGCTGAGTGACAGCGGCCTCCCGCAGAGGCTGGGCAGGGTGACGTGTGTGCATTAGAGAGTGTCTATGTGAGCTGCGGCTTGGCATACTTCCTGGAGCCTGCTGCAGCCGTGAGTGCATCGGGCACGCCCTGGGCAGCAGCCGTGAGGGCAGAACAGCGCAGCTGGGGCCGGACGTGGCTGGTGGTCAGGGCCCCGTGGTCACCTGGGCACGACCCCAGCTTCTAGAACAAAGGCGCCTTCCATCTGGGGAAAGTGGGAGGGCGGAGCCTTGTGGCCACACAGGTGGTGCGGGGCAGCAGCAGGGGGCCGGGGTCCTGTGGGCAGTGTGGCAGAAGGCACACTATGTACCCAGGCCCCAGGATTGGGAGCACACCGCATCGTGCGTTTCCTGTAGTGAGGCCAGACTCCCCGGGAAGCGGGGGTGTCCCTTGGCTCCCAAGGCTTGAGGGATGTCTCTTGGGCCGCTTGCTGTGTTGTTAGAAAGGTGAGCCAGTGTCGAACGTGTGGCTGGCAGGAGACGTGGCTACTTCCCCTGGCCTCCAGAGGAGGCCGCCCTGCTTGCCACAGCCCAGCCACTCCCTCCTGCCAGCCCTGCTCTGCTCTGCTCGCTGTCTTCTCTGGTCCCAGAGGGCTTTGGAGTTTGCCCCGTGGACACCTTAGGGGAAACCCTGTGTTGGAAGGGGCCCCGGGCGGGGTTCTGCATTGGCCACCTTGGTTCATGCGCACCTGGGAAGTAGGGTGTGCCCACGCCCTGAATTGCCTGGTGGGAGCTTTGAGTTCCCTGCTGGCGGGCGGTTCCCTGGCCTGAGTTCACAGTGCCAGGTCTCAGGGCTTGGGCAGGAGTCACGGTCAGAGCCCCCTGGACCCAAGCAGGTGCGACCGTGACGGTGATGGTGGGGCATCCCCTCCTATCTGACTGCCAGCAGCAGGAAACTGTCCTGTCCTGTGGAGTGACAGGGGGGTCTCTGCCTTCCATTCTCAGAGACAAGCTGAATGCCTTACGGAGACACAAGGAAAAACTGGAAGAAAAGATCATGGACCAGTACAAGTTCTACGATCCTGCTCCAAAGAAGTGAGTGATGGGCGGTAGCTTCGGACAGGGCGGCCTCGCTGCTTTCCTACGAGCAGAGTGGACTCTGTGGCCACCCCCAGGCCCCCTCGGCAGGGCCCCCGTCTTCGCTACCCCGCAGCTCCTCTCCCCTCTGTCAGAAGAGTTTTGTTTTGTTTTTTAAATTTATTTACTTGAAAGAGTTAGAGGAGGAGCTAGGGAGGGCTTTCATCCTCTGGATCACCCCCAGGTGACTGGGCCAGGCCGAAGCCAGGAGCTTCATCCAGGTCTCCCATGTGGGTGCAGGGGCTCCAGTACCGGGGCCATCCTCTGCTGCTTTCCCAGGCACATTCGCAGGGAGCTGGATCGGAAGTAGAGCAGTGGGAGTCGAACCGGCGCCCCTATGGGATGCCGTTGTCATAGCCGTGGCTTCACCACTGCACTACACAGCCGCCGCTCCTCTGCTTGCGTCGGTTTTCCTCGAGTGTCAGGGAGCGTCAGGACGCCAGCTCTCGTCCCTGACGGTTCCATGCAGAAAGCGCCGGGGGTCTGCGATTCTGTCCCTGGAACCTCACTGCCGACCCGCGCAGCCCGGTGCCACCTCCCGCACGTCACAGACGAGCAGCAGCTTGGCCACCGTGCACGCGCCCCAGGTCACTGGCCAGACTTCCCCGGCCGGGGCCAGAAGCGCTGGCCCACATCAGGGCGTCTGCCGATCCGGCAGCGGCGCTGAGGGCGGCTGTGATGCACATCGCTTCCCCTTAGGAAGAGCCACTGGATTGGAGCCAGAGCCTTAGTCAAACTCATCAAACCAAAGAAAGAGGGTTCCCGAGAGCGCCCCAGGACGAGCACAGACAGCCCTCCCTGGCAGCTGGAAGAGCCCGCCTCGCCGCCCGCCCCTCAGCCCCTCAGGTCCCAGCCCGAGAACCCCGCCACCCCCCCGCTGGACGTGAACGGCATGGAGGAGCACGACCCCCACGGCGCGTCCAGGGAGAAAGGTAGGAGGGGCTCACCCAGCCGTGGTCGGGGTGTGCACACGCGTGTGTCAGAACGTCAACGGGGTGTGCGCCTCCCGTGGAAGGCCACGGCGGCACATTTGTCATTTAGCGGGTGGACTGTGGCAGGTATCTGACTGTCCAGAGCTGATTCTCAAACAGGCACCGTGGGCAGGTGGGGTTGTAGACGCAGCCTGGGCGCTCACGCGGGCCAGTGAGCTGTATCATGAGCCGTGTCTGGGGGGAGCTCCCAGGTGCACTTAACCTGTGCTCCGTGGCTGGGTCTGGCCACAGGACACGTGTCCCCTTTGCCTCAGAGCTGTCTCCGGAGGGTCTGGAGCGAGTGCGGGACTTCTGGCCAGGAGGCCGGACGAGCTGCGTGGTCTCTGGCCTGCATGGGAGCAGGCATGTGGCACAGCCGTCTTGTTGAAAGAACTCCTTTATGCCACACGTCAAAGGAAGAGGGAACGAGAGAAGAGCGATGTCGGTCTCACCCTGGCCAGGGGTGACTTACGATGCTGTCAAAGCTGCAGGCTGATTTCAGACATGTTCAAGTATAGAAGAAAAAAATAGGTCTCGGGGTCAGTTACTACACAGAGCAGCTGTTCTAAATACGGCTGTGTTTTCAGGTTTATCTTTATCATTTTTGGGGATTACTTCTGCCATGTGATGCAACTTTTTACCAAGGACCCCCACAATGTCTGGCTGATGGGACCCAGCTGTGAGCCCCCCGGGTTGAGGGTGTGGTTCTGAGCGTGACCCAAGCCCTGGTCCTTCGGGGCTCATGTTCACCTCTGCTGTCCCTGTCCTGTCTCAGACGGGCGCACCCTGGCTGGGGGCTGGTTGCCTGGACCCCTGTGCTTTAAGGGTCCAGCGGTCAGAACAAGGCTCTCACATAGGGCCAGTGAGGACAAGCCTCTACCCAGAGGGGTTCTGCTGCCTCCAGGGTTCCCTTGGGCTGTTCCCATTTGACGTTTGTCTTGCAGTTGGAGGGAGGAATGATAATCGGTGTGACTGAGTCAGGAAAACTCAAGGGAAGGTGGCCGGCCTGCTGCTGGGACAGGTCAGCTCTGTGACAGTTCTTAGTAGCTGCCACCAAGTCTCGTGCCTCGGTTCTGTGCTGTTCAGTCCTCACTGCCCCGTGAGCCAGGCACAGTTCCCATCCTGGTGAGCTGAGAGGCGGCGGCCACGTAGTGTTGACACCTGCTGAGGGAGTAGGTGGGCTCCAGGCTCGGCCCTGCCCCTGTGGATGTAATGTGGGCCGAGGGTGCCCTGAGCTTGTCCTAGAGCCCCAGAGAGCTGGAAGCTGGTCCCTAGCTGTGCAGTGCTGAACCATGGCCACCAGGGGGCGCTGTGGAGGAGGAAATAACAGATTCTGGCATCCACTGTGGTCCTGCCGGTTACCTGCTGTGTTAAGACTCAGCACTGGGTTCTACAACACGAGCCTTCTTCAAAGTTAGTTTATTTTGGAGCACAAAGTCTTTGGAACCCAGGTCTTCAAACAGGTCATGAAAAACGCTGTGCATGGATTTCAAGATTTTTTTTTGCCCTAAAATTTTCAGATTCCATTTTCTGTGAGCATTTTGACGCAGCCATGTCTCTAAGGGAGTGTGAAAAAAAGGACCATTATGACTGAATGGCCAGGGATCTGGTGTGGGCTAGGAGGGGGAGGGGCTCTGTGGTCTGGAACCTCCTCCTGCCCAAAGAGGCCGCTTGAGACAGACAGACACGCTTACCAAGTCCTTGGTGCCGCGGGCCGAGGCGTGTCGCTGCATGCCCCCGAGGTCTTGCCACAGGAGCCGCGTTGCCGGGACCCTGTCATTAACGTGGATGAGTAAGAGGAGCCCGGCTCTGAACCCGGGAGTGGTCTTGGTTAATACCGGAACAGGCTGAGGCTCAGAGTCCCCCTGGGCCCCCTGCGGCTCTGCTGCCCATGAGGCCAGGACCTGAGGGACTCCCCGCGCCCTGGTTCAGGTCTTCGTGGTGGGACGGGGGTCTGATTTCCCAGGTACATTTTGCTCATTCGGATTCATTTGTAATTATTGTTCATTTCATTTGTTGCTCCCCCCCCCCTTGTGGAATATCCGGGTGATAACGATTTAGCATCTCAGCGCAAAAAGAACCCCTTTTTGAGAAGCAAAAGCAAGGACAAAGACAAGTCTCCATCGGCTCTCTCTCAACGCCTGCGGTTCTGGTCCTCGGACATCCCCTGCTCTCCTGTCGAGCCCCTCTCTTTCTCAGAGATGGGAGGTTTCTAGTCCCTTCCCCCACCACGTGTCTGCATCGTGCATGCGCCTCCATTTCCAAAATCCAAACACAGCACGCCAGACGGCCTATAGTGGACCCCTGTCTGCCCCCGACCCCAGTCCCCCGCCTAACATAGCCCATGTGGATTGTGATTCCCAAGTAGAAGATGCATTGCCACGTTGCCTGGACCGACCCTCCCGTGGGCCGGGACGGCTGTGCTCAGTAAGTGCAGCGGCCGCTCGCTCGCGCCGCCTCCCTCGCACCCGCCTGCTTGCGTCACGCCCGTGTGTGGAGCAGAGCCGCTCTGTCCAGGCCAAGGCCGGCTTTTCTGTAAGGCAGATGTTTGAGCAGCTGGATCTGAAAGCCCAGCGCTGCCCTCTGCTCCTTGCTTTGTCAGAGCGCTGAGCTGTTGGCCCCGGCGACCCAGGCCCTGTCTGAGCTGTTCCGTGCTCGGAAGGGTGGCTCGCAGCTCTCGGGCTTGGTCATACCTGGAGCGGTTGAGCTCAGGATGAAGGCGCAGGGCTGTGCCTGGTGCTCGGGCCTCCCATGGTGCTGTCTGCAGCCGTCCTTAGCCGTCTTCCCAAGAACGGCCATGTCCGCCTCCACCTGGATGCCTACCTGCCCTTTAGGTGCCAATTCAGTTTCTGTGCCGAGGGAGATAGTTACCCCGCTGGAGGGGAACTCTGCCTCAGCGCACAGATGAGCTCAGCGCTCTGAAGCGGTTCAGGCTGGTTAAGCCCCCACCCCAACCCCAACCCCATCCCTCTGCGCCACCTGCTGCCACTGTCCTGCCTGCTGCTCACGCCGACTGCACGCCCAGCCCCGCTCCCCTCTGCATCCTCGCTGTACCGGCCCCCCTCCTTCCACCAGACTTGAATCTTGCTTCTCATCAAGGTTACCTTGCAAAAACCCAGTTTCCACCTGATGTCAGGGTACTCGACGCTGGGCCCCACGCCTGGGCAGTCGGGGCCGCACGTCGCCACGGTGAGCGCTCGGCTCATGGGGCGCGGTTGTGATGGGTTTTCCTGGCTGTCAGGGACCCCAGCCGTGGTGGTTTGCGTCTTGTATTGGGAGAGCCGTCTCCCTTTCCCACCGGCTAGTTGGCGGTAGGTTTATGTTTTTCTTATTCTGGAGAGCTGTGGGTCTAGTTTTTTTTAAGCCTGTGTACATACAGTTTAATTTCGACAGTTAATGTCGTGGTGGAATAGTCAGCGATTGCGGAAGATCCCAGATACTGCACCCCGAGTCCGCCTCCCCAGGCAGCGATGAGGGCTCCTTCACTGCTCCCCCGCTGGGAAACCACAAGCCGGGGGGCAGTCTCCTTGCACTGGCCCCCCGCACCTGAGCTGGGCTCTCAGCAACACTGTTTGTCCTCTTTCAGTTCACCCCTCGTTCTGGCCAGGCTGCCACTCTGGCAGTGTGACCCCCCAACGCGGGTCAGGGCCGAGGCCCTTCTCAGCCAAGCTTCCGTCTGTGTGGTCCGTGTGTCCTGTCGCGCCTGCTTCTGGCCCTGGTGAGGTTGCCCGGCCTGGGCAGCGGCCATGCAGCCTCACGTCTCGATGTTCTCTCCTGCTCCAGGCCCTGGGGATCTGCGAGCCAAGCGCAGGTCCCCCCCTGGGGATGGCATGGACAGCACAGAGGCCTCCGCTGACCTGGCTGCCCAGCCCTGGCCCTCGGAGCTGGGCTCCAAGGCCTGTTCTACCCCAGCCATCGCCTCAAGCCCTTCCAGCTCCACCCCTACATCCCGGCACCCAGGCTGCACCAAAGGCGAGTCGTGGGCCCCTGGAGGGGAGGGAGAAATAGGGCAGCAGAGGCTCCGGACTCTTGGAAGCCCGGATGGGTTCAGACCTCAGGTCAAGCTCCACCCCGCGGTGTTCAGGAACTGGTGCTCCCAAGTGGCCTGAGAGCAGAGGGGACGGTTGCTCTTCTCCACCCCAGAAGGCTGGCCGTTGTCCCTCTGGGGAGGCCACGCGGAGGGCAGGTGCCCTGTGCTGTCTCCAGGATGCCTGTCGCCGGGCATCTGTGTGCTTTAAGCGTGAGATGAAAATACCGAGTGGTCTTGTGTGCTGTAGAGAGTCCCGGCAGAATGGCTCAGCCTCATCTTGCCAGGAAGTTCAAGGGTTCCCTGGATGCTGAGGGAAAACCCCAACCCCAGAGACAAACCCACCCTGCACGGGCTGGTCATCGGTGCAGTTCGATCAGAGAGCAGGGGCAGAAGCCCGGGGAAGGTTGGGTTGCACAGGCGGGGGTGTGGCTGTTGGATGGAGCAGGGGCGGCAGTGGCACCGCCCATACACCCCGCCTTCATCCCCCTGAGCGAACTGTGCAGCGTGGGGAGGGCCTGGGTGGGCCCTGCACCAGAGGGCGGGCTTTCTCCCTGGACGGCGGATACTCCGGGACCCAGCTCATCGGCCTTGTCTTCGCCCTAGGCTATAACTCAGAAGACAACCTCTGCGAGCCGTCCCTGGAGCTTGAGTTCACCCACAGGCAGTACGGTGAGTGGGCGGCGGGTCGTGCCAAGGGGTCTCCTCCCTGCCTCCCGCAGAACCTGAGCATGTAGCTTCTGCTTGCATACCGCCAGTGGTGGGGAGCTCACTCCCTGCCTTTCAGGAATTCCGCTGTGTTCCCCCGAGTCTCAGCTGCCCATGGCAGCCCGGGCTGCACAGCGTGAATCTTCGCAGAACAAGAGATAGGAACTGTTTTCATGTCTGCTAAAGTGGCCCTACAAGGGTGGGAAAGTTATCCTTAAGAAAAAAACTCGGAAAATTGACATGGACTTCCCTGGACTGCCAAGGTCATAGGCGCGAGCGTCATCTTGTTTGTTTTGTTTTTTTGACAGAGTGGACAGTGAGAGAGAGAGAGACAGAGAGAAAGGTCTTCCTTTGCCGTTGGTTCCCCCTCCAATGGCCACCGTGGCCAGCGCGCTGCGGCTGGCGCACCGCACTGATCCGATGGCAGGAGCCAGGTGTTTGTCCTGGTCTCCCATGGGGTGCAGGGCCATCCTCCACTGCACTCCCTGGCCACAGCAGAGAGCTGGCCTGGAAGAGGGGCAACCGGGACTAGAACCTGGTGTGCCGGCGTTGCAAGGCGGAGGATTAGCCTAGTAAGCCGCGGCACCAGCCACGAGCGTCGTCTTACGATGCTGACAGTCAACGTGCACATAGATGCTTACGATATAAGACGTCTTCACCCTGAGCGGAGGAGGGGACGAACCCGCCCCTCGTGCTGGGCCCGTCTCACTGAGTGACCAGGGGACCCTTCCCCTGTTCTCGGGCGCAGGACCATGAGCAGGACCCACAGCCTCACGACACAGTTCCCTTGGCGTGAGACTTCTTCCTTTTCCAGGAGATGTGTGCTGCTGATTCTCAGGTGGCTGCCGTAAGCTAACATGTGACCCAGGAAACTTGGGGGGTGGGGTCCCTCTCAGCACCTGCTGTGAGTGGGGGGGTGCAAAGGTGACAGCACTGTCCCCACCCCCTCGGGGCTCACAGTACAGGAATGTGGCTTGCTTGAGCCACCCGGCACCAGGACAGGATCCTGGAGGAGGGACCAGGAGGGAGCCTGTCAGCCCTGGGAGGATGGCTCAGCCTTCCTGAGAGTTTGCAGCCGGGCGGCATGGCCTCGACACACCCAGGAGGGCCGGGTGCCCTCTGCCGGGCGCTGTGAACCTCAGCTTTTCCCCCTTGGGGTAGACGTGGCTTTGCAGCAAACGACATGGAGCAAGAGAAGCGAGGCCCCCTTCCCGCCCAGGGGTCACGTGCAGGGATGCCACCCGGCGTGCCTGTTCCTGGGGTCTCAGAGCAGGCTGCAGCACGGCCCCTCCCCTACCCCGAGCCTCACCCAGAGGTCCGCCTTCCCTCCAGGGACCCTGTGTGAGAATTCCCGGGCTGAAGTACAGCTTAATAAACATGGGTCACCCCAGGTGTGCACATGCCAAGCACCTTGAAGCCAGGCCTTCTCAGGAGCATGGCTCTGGCCTGGGACGTGAGTTCTCCGGGGTCCCATGGTTCGTGGCTGGCCCTGGGCCCTGTGCGTTAAGTGTCGTCCACTTCCTTTTAGTGTCTCGGCCCAGTAGCTTGGAGAGCAGCAGGAAGACATCCAGCCACAGCTCGCCTCTCAGCCTCAAAGGTAAGGCTGCGCTTCCGCTCAGGATTCTAGAAGCAGGGCTGAGTGTGTTCCCGGGCCTCTGGGCAGCGGAGCCCGCGTTCCTGCGTCTGCAGGCTGCTGGGTTGGAGTTGGTCACAGAAGCAGAACAGCCGGCCGTGATTCGGCAGAATGTCCGTTTATGGGCAGAGCCGCCTGCCGTGGGGAATGTGTGCAAGACCCCAGCCAATCACAAATATGTGTCCTCTTGGCTTCCGCGGGACTGCAGTGCCCGACAGCCAGGGCTGGGTCTCCCACGTGGGTGGCAGGGGCCCAGTGACTGGAAGCACCACCTGCTGGCTCCCGGGCTGTGCATTAGCGTGAAGGTGGGACTGAAGCCGGGCACGGGCCTCCCAACCACCCCCGAGCCCACTCTGACCATGTGAGTGGATGGGCGCTAGCTGGGGGTACCGGGCACGGGCCCAGAGTACCATCTCATGACATCCAGAGCCCCCGCTGGGGAGCGGGGGCTGCGACTGACGTGCGTCCCTGTGTCCACCCGCCCCGGGGCCCAGGTTCCTCCGAGCAGCTCTTTGGCCGCTCCGAGAGCTTCAGCAGTGAGGACCTGATCCCCAGCAGGGACCCGGCCACGCTCCCCCGAGACGCCAGCACCCCAGGCTGCCCCGCGTACCCCGCACCCCGGAACGGGCCTGCCCCCCAGGAGGGTGCCCCGAAGAGGAACACCGCTCTGCCTCCTGCTGGGGCGCGGCCCCGCACCGCCTCCCCCAGCAGCGAGATGGTCACCTTGGAGGAGTTTCTGGAGGAGAGCAGCCGGAGCTCGCCCCCCCATGTGAGTGCCCGGATGTGGAACCTCCCCAGCCCAGCTTGGAGGCCTCTGAGCCAGGCGGGCTTGGCTGTGGCCAGGGGGGGGGGCTTGTGGAGAACCACTGGGAGCTAGCCAGTTGGGGGGACAGACTTTGGGGGCTGAACACCTGTAGATTTTAAAGGGCCAGAGAGTGAATCTTGCAGCAGCTCACTTCTGTTGCTTTGAGCAAGTGGACGTGGATCGTCTGCTCACAGGCCTGGCCATCATCTGCTGATGTTACGGACACTCACAGTATGGCACGCTGCATGTGGCCCCTAGCTCCCGACCCTGCCCCCTCCCTCTCGGATGTGGCCTTTGAGCTCAAGAACCAGAGCTGGGGGGTTATTTAGTCTACCACCAACCTTCAGCCATGGGAGGCAGGTCTCAGGGGAGCCGTCCCAGCAGGCCGTGTCCCTGGTGGTCTGCACATGCAGGGGGCTCAGAGCCTCAGGAGCACCCCCAGCAGCTCTGCCTGAGCCCAAGCTGGCGGCTCCCTGGGAGGGGGAGCCAGTCCATCTTCCTTCCTGGGAACTGGGCCCTCTCTGGCTCCCAGCGACCCCATCCTTCCTCTCCCATCCTGGCTTTTCAGGAGCTGTAGGAAGCCCTTGGGCTGTGCCTGAGCAGGCTGCATGACACAGGAGGGGATGTCCAGGTCCCAGCCCGCAGTCTTCCCCCTACCTGCTCCCCTTAGCGGTAAAGAGATACAGCTGGCTATGATTCAGCCGTGAGGACCCCTGGGGAGGGGTCACCCCCACCCTCGCTCCCACCTCTGCTCTCTATCTCCATAGGACCTGCCCGGTAGCCAGGATGACCTGCTTGGCGACTACTTCCGCAAAGCCAACGACTCCCCTGCCGTGGGGAGCCAGCCAGGACTACCCCCCAGGAAAGAAGGGGCCAAGATGCCCACCAGCTTTGTGGCCCCCACCATCAAGATGGCCGTGAGCACCCCCGAGGCGCGGCAGCCGAAGCCCGGGCAGTACGTGAAGCCCAGCTTCCGGTCGTCGGTGGAGACCCCGGCCTCGCCCAGTGCCCCTCCGCGCCAGGTCCAGCCACCGCAGAGCCTGAGTCTGGGCAGACCCCGGCAAGCCGCGCTCCCCGCCAGCCGCAGCGCGTCCCTGAGCCGGGCCTTCAGCCTGGCTTCGGCTGACCTCCTCCGGGCCAGTGGGCCCGAGGCCTGCAGACACGAGTGCCCCCCACAGAAGCTGGTGGGGCCCATGACGGTGGGGAGCAGAGACACTGGCAGCCACCCACCGCCAGGCCCTGGGCCCTCCTCCAGCCCCCATAGCCTGGTGCGCGAGCGGACTCCGCTGGCGGCCAAGGCCGGCGGCACCTGTCCGGGCCCCCGCGGCCGGCCGCTGGACGTGCGGCGCTTCTCGCTGGCACCGCCGAAGGAGGAGAGGCTGGCGCCCCTGCAGCAGTCGGCCACAGCGCCGGCCCTCGCCTCGGGCGCCTCACCCTGCTCGCCCGCTGCGCCACCTGCCAGGACCAAGCCCAGAACGCCGCCGCACACAGCTGAGGTGGCAGCCGTGGTGCCCGTGCGGGCCGGGCCGGGCCTCACGGAGCCGGATGGCGAGGGGCCGCCGGCCAAGGGCCCCGTGAGGCCCCCGGAGGACTGCAGCCGCGGAAGCAGCTCCAGGAGCACGCCGGCGTCCCCAGAGCCGGGCGGGGACCCGCAGACCGTGTGGTATGAGTATGGCTGCGTGTGACCGACCGGCGCCTCTCAAACCGAGGAAGGGGCTTCCCCGCAGGGCACAGAAACCCTGGGCCGAGCCCTGGGGACATGGCCACCGGCGGCTTTGGGCCAACGATCCGAGGGGGCCCCACCGAACACCCCCGTGCCCCTTGCAAGCCTCTGTGAGAGTGTGCATGTGTGTCCACATGCACCCACACCTGGTTCGCAAGGCTCAGTCCGGGTGGCTGTCCCCTTCCTGGGGTCCCAAGCACTTCCCTTTACCCTGGAGCCGAGGGCGGCCTCGGCTGGCTCCTGCTCTCTGCACGGCAAGCTCTGAGTGCCACCCGCCTTCCCCGCTTCCCCCGGCTTGCTTACCTGCAAACACTGGATCTGGGGTGGGGGGCAGAGACCCCCTCTCCCCCCAACCTCGGGCAGGGGTGCATGGTGCACAGGGAGCCAGGTGCATGCCTGACCCCTTCGTGGCTGCAGCACCCAGCTTCCCCTGCCCCAGATGCGATGTTTATTATTTCTGAATAATTTTGGGGAGGGCAAAGACCTAATTTCTTTTAATATATTGCATCTGTGTATACACTCATGTGAATTATGTATACTTGGGGACCTATTTATGTGCTGTTGGGGAGTTCTTTTCTAGCGGGAATCTTTGCTGCTCTGTGTATTTGGTCAGATTCCTGATACGGTTAAGTTTGTCCCAGGATGGACTTAGCCTGTTTTTTTTTTTTTTTTAAAGAATTTTTTTTTCCTTTTGATTCTGTATCCTGGGAAGGAAATGGGAGACTTCTGAATGTTCACAAGGTCCACTTTAGGAATGTCTGGGGTGTGTATGCACTAGCCTTCCGCTCTGGAGCGCAAGGACAGGGCTGTAATAAAGGGGAATGGAACAGATGTGTGTGCTCGTTTGCCTCGCTGCGTGGGATCAGCAGGGCGCGCGGGTCCCACGTCAGCCCCCAGAGGCTCCTGCCCACCCGTCGAGCAGGGGCGAGGTCTTGCTGTTTAGCACCTGGAATCGCCTGTATGGTTAAGCCGGCACAAACTGAATCCCATCCGGTACAGAATCTACCAGGATGGGTGCTCAGCCTCAGCTGGTGCCTCTGGATTCTAGCGCCCGAGTGCAGGATGCAGGGTCTGCGCCTTGGGGACCTCTGCTGCGTACATCAGGGGGGCGGGAGACAGAAGGCAGGAGTGAGCTTCCCCCACCTGACCAGAAATCCTCAAAGCTCTTTCTGTCCAGCTGCTGCCCCACCGACCGCCCTCGAGTTTGGCGCTCAACGGGAGCTGCCACTGCACTACTTTGAGCCAGCCCGGGTGGTGGCCACCATGCAGCCTTCATCCTGTGTGGTCTGGGCAAGATTTGAGCCCCGCAACTCCACTTCTGCCCCTCCGCTCCCTCTCGTCTGGCACGGCTCTGCCCAGCCCGTGGCTCTCCCACTGCCCTGCTGTCCTCTGCTCCCAGGGGCAGCCACAGAAACGGGTGCAGCCTCAATGGCCCCCATTGCCCCCTGCATCGCGGGGACCCGAGTGTGACCAGAATTACACACACACAACTGCTCCGGGGCCACACTGGCCCGCCTCCGGCCTTCCTGCCCTGCCACCTCCTTCTGCAATCCACCCCAGCTGCCTGTTGTCCCCCTGGATCCAGGGGGCCCCTCAGTCCTCATCACCTGCCCAGCGTTTGCCTCAGGTGACCTCTGAGACACTGCCCCACCCTGGCCCCCAGAAGCCACACCCAGCCGTCCGCAGACCAGGGCCTCTCCAGGCAGCTCCATGAGGCACGCCCAGCGCTCACGGCTTCTCCCAGTCCCAGACAAGCCTGTGCACATTCTCGGCTCTCATCGGCACCCAGCCCCGGCTCCTCCAGATCTGGTTCCAGTGTGGATGTCCCAGAGGCACTCCACAGGGCCAACACTCAGATCCCACCACACCGCCCCCAACACCTGCGCCCGTGTCCGTAACCTGTCACTCATCGCCCTACCGGCTGCTTGCAGCTCCATGACGACTCACTTCCACCCCATCCCGGTGTCGGTCCCCCGACCCTGAGCAGTACCGTGAGGTTCTGCAGCTGAGACACCCAGATGCCCCCTCCCGGGTCACAGGTCTCCTCCACCCTCCACATGACCTCATACACAGGAAATGCCCACATGGCAGCCGGGGACCTGTGCCCTCAGCTCAGGGAGGTCTGGCTCAATAAAGATCTGGGACATTGCGAGGGGCTCACCCCGGGAGAACATGAGTAAGGCAATGAGGCCAGACCTTAAGGAAGGTACAGGGGACTTCAAAAAGCTTGGGGGGGGGGGTGCGGCACCGTGGCTCACTTGGTTAATCCTCCGCCTGAGGCACTGGCATCCCATATGGGCACCGGTTCTAGTCCCAGTTGCTCGTCTTCCAGTCCAGCTCTCTGCTGTGGCCCGGGAGGGCAGTGGAGGATGGCCCAAGTGCTTGGGCCCTGCACCCGCATGGGAGACCAGGAGGAAGCTCCTGGCTTTGGATCGGCGCAGCACCAGCCATGGCGGCCATTTGGGGGGTGAACCAGCGGAAGGAAGACCTTTCTCTGTAACTCTACCTATGAAATAAATAAATAAATAAAAACTTGTGGGAAACTAGAATTAAAAGTTAAAAGCTCACAGGAGCTGGTGTTGCAGGGTGCAACAGCTTAATCCTCTGCCTGTGGCACCAGCATCCCATATGGGCGCTGATTCAAGTCCCGGCTGCTCCTCTTCTTATCCAGCTCTCTGCTATGGCCTGGGAAAGCAGCAGAAGATGGCCCAAGTCCTTAGGCCCCTGCACCCGCATGGGAGACGGAAGAAGCTCCTGGCTCCTGGCTTCGGATGTAGCCATTTGAGGAATGAACCAATAGAAGGAAGACCTTTCTGTCTCTCCCTCTCACTGTCTAACTCTCTCTCTCAATAAATTAAAAAAAAAAAAAAAAAAAAAAAAGAAGTTCGCAGGAGCTGGTGTTGCAGGGTGCCAACAGCTTAAGGCACTGCTTGAGATACCAGCATCCCATCTGAGCACAAGTGCTCCACTTCTGATCCAGCTCCCTGCTAAAGTGCCTGTGAGACAGCAGATGACCCTAGTGCTTGGGCCCCTGCACCCACGTAGGAGACTCAGATGAAGCTCCTGTCCCCTGGCTTCAGCTTGACCAAGCCCTGGCTGTTGTGGCCATTTAGGGAGTGAACCGGTAGATGGAAGATCTGTCCCTTACTTTAATTTTTTTGACAGGCAGAGTGGACAGTGAGACAGAGAGAAAGGTCTTCCTTTGCTGTTGGTTCACCCTCCAATGGCCGCTGCAGCTGGTGCACCACGCTGCCAGGAGCCAGGTGCTTCCTCCTGGTCTGCCATGTGGGGTGCAGGGCCCAAGCACTTGGGCCATCCCCCACTGTACTCCCGGGCCACAGCAGAGAGCTGGCCTGGAAGAGGGTCAACCGGGACAGAATCTGGTGCCCCGACCAGGACTAGAACCTGGTGTGCCAGCGCCACAGGCAGAGTATTAGCCTATTGAGCTGCGGCGCCGGCCCTGTCCCTTACTCTTAACTCTGCCTTTCAAATAAATAAAAAATTTTAAAGTGATAGTGCATATTTTTAAGAATTCATTTATTTAAAAGGCAAAGTTACAGAAAGGGAGAGCGTGAGTGAGCTCTTCCGTCTGCTGGTCCACTCCCCAGATGGCTACAGTGCCCGGGGCTGGGCCAGGCTGAAGCCAGGAGCCTGGAGCTTCATTCAGATCGCTTGTGTGGGTGCAGGGGCAACCTCTGCTCTTTCCCAGGCATATCTGTAGGGAGCTGAGTTGGAAGAGGAGCAGCCAGGACTCAAACTGGTACCCATTTGGGATGCAGGCATTGCAGGCAGTGGCTGCAATGCCAGCCCCAAATAAATACATTTTTAAAGAAGTTTATGGGGGGGCCCAGCACTGTGGTATAGCAGGTAAGGCCACTGCCTGCAGTGCCGGCATCCCATATAGGCACAGGTTCAAGTCCTGGATGCTCCACTTCTGATCCAGCTCTCTGCTATGGCCTGAGGAAACAGTAGAAGATGGCCCAAGTCCTTTGGCCCCTGCACCCACATGGGAGACCCAGAAGAAGCTCCTGGCTCCTGGCTCCAGATCAGCACAGCTTTGGTTGTTGCAGCCAATTAGAGAGTGAATCATTGGAAGGAAGACAGACGTCCGTCCGTCCGTCCGTCTGTCCCTCCCTCCCTCTCTCTGCCTCTCCTCTCTCTTTCAAATAAATATTTTTTTTAAAAAGCCTTTGTTTTTAAACTCATGTTAAAAATTATAGGGGCCACCTGCAGTGCTAGCATCCCATATAGGCACTGGTTTGAGTCCCAGCTGCTCCACTTCAGATCCAGCTCCCTAATGTGCCTGGGGAAGCAGTGGAAGATGGCCTAAGTCCTTGGGCCCCCTGATCCACGTAGGAGACCCAATGAAGCTCCTAGCTTTGGCCTGGCCTAGTCTTGACTGTTGCGGCCATTTGGGGAGTGAGCCAGTGGACAGAAGATCAATCTCTCCCTCTGCCTCTGCCTCTCCTCTGTAAGTCTGACTTTCAAATAAATAAGCTTGTAATAAAGAGTATATAAATCCATATATCATTTTTTCATAATAAGCATTTTTCATCAACTTTCTGATAACCCCTCCTACACCAAAACGCCTGACACGGGCTGCTTAGGAAGAAAGGGTTATTGGGCTTAGATGCAGAGGTTCAAGGGCATGGCTTGCAATGGCCTACATCAGCTCAGTTCTGGTGAGGGCCCCCTCTCGGCTGTGTGACGGCCATGGCAGGGGCACGCAGGAACAAGTGACGTCATCTCACACCAGGAAACAGAGCGAGATGCAGCTTGCTTTCACAGTGCCCCTCTCCCGAGGACCACCTGCTTCCCTTCTGAGGCAGGGCCCCCGTGACCTCCATCTCCAAAGTCTCTATGGCTTCCCGGGGACCAGCACACGGGCACTTGGGGGGACACAGGGGCTGCTAGCAGGCACCCTGCCCGAGTGCATCAGCTGGCCAGGGGGCAGGTATACAAGTCTGGGAATGTTACACAAGATGTGCTACATGATTTACAAATAAAATACCATACTCTATTATAAATCCATACAGCTAATGGATTCTCATAGAATCACATTTCACCAAGCCTACGTATTTGGGGCCAGTCTATGAATGAGCATAGCTACAATACGCACGTTGGTTGATTTTTCGATCAACAAGCATAATGAAAGAGAAACAGGCCAGAGACGGGTGTCAGAACTTCGCTTGCCACACCAGTGACTGCTGAACCAAGGAGCAGCATCTGCGTGTGGGGCGGCTGTTTCCTGTTTTTATGCTCGTCACCTGGTAAAGGTACGATGTGGCATGCTTTATTCAAAACGGCCATCTCATTTACACACCCTAATACCCAAGGTGCTTTTAAAACTCATCTACAATCTTAACATTTTCTCCCTCTCTCAGGTCTGGACAGTGTAGGTAATGAAGAAAACATAATGGAGCCTTGAATGTAGCACCTGCCAATGTCTGTGGTGCAAATACAGCCACCATGGCCGAATTCAGGCTGCCAGATGTCACTCAACACGGAGCTGGGAGGGGACAGTAGCACCCCATTATACAATAGCACCACCCTGCGAGGCAACTGGCGTTAGGGACCTCAAAAGCATGGGCAACAGTAAAATAATTATGAAGTTATGGAGTCTGATATTTGCTTTCTTAAAAAAAAAAAAAGACTCATTCGCTGGGGCCAGGGTCGAGGCACAGCAGGTACAGCTGCCACCGCTGATGCTGGCATCTCACACGGGCTCACTATGTCCTGGCTGCTCCACTTCCGATCCAGCTCCCTGCTAACGCATCTAGGCGAGCAGACAAGGGCCCTTGGGCCCACGTGGGAGACCCAGGTGCAGT